ATCCTTTTACTTTCTAAATAATGCCTAGACCATATTTTTAACAAAGAATGAGTCAAAAGTCTGCTAAGCAATCCCTCCTCTAATGCCAACTGCACTAAAATAGGATTTGATTCAGAAGACTATTAGGACCCCAAGGAATAATACTTTAAATCTATAACTCCTCAGAGGTAAAGGATACCATATAACAACAATGCTGAAATAAGAATTTGGGTCACTGTCCAATGTTGTCCCACAACAAAGCATCTGCAGAGACCTGGCACAAAAGTCCTACCTTCTGAAACAGCCATGGCTGTAAGCACTTTCTCTCTTGGATCACGAACCCCCTACACTTGCATAAGGCATGTTGTAACAAGGGACTCTGGGAATCTCAGTGGGCTTTTTAATGTTTTGGTGGTTACATATGCATATTCCTGGTACAAAATAGGCCAACAGCAGAGCACTCTGCGAGGGGGAATCTCATGAAGACCAGATGCAAATCAATGATCTCAATCTTACCAAGAAACAAGGCTAACAGACTGTTAAAAACTAGCATAAAACTCCTTAGGTCCATGGTTACAAATGCAACATTATTAATCAACATGTTTCGGGTGTTGCAAATAGATGTTAGTGCCCAGCAGAAACTTTTATCGCAAAACAGCTCAGCCTAATTCCAGGACTGCTAGAAATTGACCTGAACAGAATATTATGTTGAGAAATTCCTCCTCTAGTCCTGGTTTACCATTCTGATTGAAGGTTGATGTATATCAAATTCATATTATTTCATTTCATTTGTTTAAATGTTACATAAATTTCACCTTTCATCTTTAATTGTGGAATATTTACACTAATTTTCTACCCTAGTGTGAATCCACATTCGTTTTTCTGGACAAAGAAACCCAATTTAATCTTTTTTTTTTTTTGTGCATTGCTAGATCCCATTTGATAACATTTTATTTGGAATTTTTTGCATTTTTGTTCATGAATGAATTGACCTGTATCATTCTTTTCTCACAAGCACCTCCTCCGGTTTTGAAATCAACTTTATACTCACTTTATTGAACAAATTGAGGAGTTTCCTATTTTTTTATTCTCTGGAAGAGTTTGTAACAGACCTTATTTTCATAAAAGCTGGATAGCACCTTTTCTTTATAAGACACTTTTAAACTTCTGATTCAATTTCTTTCATGTTTATCTTATTATCCTTCTAGGTCTTGAATTCATCTTGGTAAATTATATTTTTATAACTTTTTGATTTTGTTTAATTTTTGTCATATTGTGTTAAAGTTGTTTATCCCTTTAACCTCTGCTGTCTATATCTATATCCCTGTTTAGGTCTTAATGTTAATGTAATTATACTGAATGAACTATAATGGCAACATAATCAAAATAACTGATTTCCTTTTATCATTCATTTAAATATTGCTGTGTAGGTATTCTTCCCCACTGCCTGGATTAAATTCTAACAAGTCCATCTGGATACAAGATGTAATTAAGTTGAAAGCACAATTCAATTATTTGTATACTCAGTCCTTAGTATTAACAAAATTCTGAACTAGATTTACCATCAAAAATTTTTCCCTTTCCAGTCCCAGAGACTGCGTTAGGCTGGAAGCTTGCAGTGGGATGGGGGGCGGGGGGGTGGGTCTTGATTCACCTTCTCACTTTTTTGCCTTTCCCAGCTAGCTAACTGGGGCCTGATGCTTCAAGAGTTGACATGTAGACAGGGGAAACGAGATGGGTGAAGGTCTCTTACCTGAACACCTGAAATTGGCTTCCCCTTCTCTGGGCCTGAAGGATGACTCAGTCTGCCTCTTGGAAGGTGTCTGGGGTAGGATTTCTGGATGCTTTAGATGTTTTCTCATGCTATTTCTGGACTCACTAAAACAAGAAATTTGTCCACTTTATTGCTTGTTTCAAAAAACACACTTGGGGGTGCACCAGTGTGGCTCGCTTGGTTAAATGTCCAATTGTTGATTTTGACCTAGGTCATGATTTCATGGTTTATGGGATTGAGCCCTACATTGGGGCTGCTTGGGATTCTGTCTCCCTCTTCTCCTATCTCTCTGGCTCTTCCCTGCTCATGCACATGCTCTCTCTCAAAATAAATGAACTTAAAAAAAATAAAATAAAAACACATTGTTTGGGACTTCCTTTGAGTCTCTCTGTTTACCTTTTTTCCCTCTTTCTAAATGAGTTAACATATATAAAGCATTTAGAACACTACCTGACTCAATATAGAAGCCTTATAAGTGATAACTCTTATGACCCACGAGGAAGTGAACTGCACCAGAGTCCAGTTTATTCACTGTTATGTTCTCCATGCAGTTTCTGGGAAATAAAATGAACATCCCTGTGTATCTTTTGTGCTGTCCTTTTTCTGTTTTATCACCCACTTCGTAAGGAGAATATTTAGTTCACTGATTTTCATCTCTTTGATTCTAAAATAAAAAGGTATTTGCATTTATACATTTCTCTGAGATTCTGCTGCATCCTACACTTTTACCAGGCATATTTTGTTTACTTCTAAGTATATTTTAGGACCTATTTTTTTTTTTACAAAGATATTCTTTATATGTGTTCTTAAATCTCCAGATGTGGGAGATATTTTTATCTTTTATAGGTTTATACCCTTATTGTGTTGTGGTCAGAGAACATTGCTAACACAGATAAGGTTGATAACACCATTGATAACACCATGTTTTTTTCAATCTGTTGAAATTTACTTTATGATATGCTAGGTATATCATTTTCTTTTACCTCTTCAATGTATGATTCTGTATCCATTCCCTACTTGTTTAATGCAGATTTCTATAAATGTCCACTTTGTTTTTAAACTTTTGTTCTTAGGACCTTTGTACATTCTTAAAAATACATTGAGAACTCCGGAAAACCTTTATTTAGAATGTGGGTTATATCTAATAATATTTACCAAATAATAAATTAAATCTGAGACATTTAAAATATCATTAATATTTTTTAATGTTTTAGTTATTTTTGAGAGAGAGAGATAGAGACAGCGTGAGTAGGGGAGGATCAGAGAGAGGGAGTTATCAGAATCCAAACACAGGCTCCAGGCTCTGAGCTGGCTGTCAGCACAGAGCCCAACATGGGGCTTGAACCCACAAACCATGAGATCATGACCTGAGCCGAAGTCAGACGTTTAACCGAGTGAGCCACCCAGGCGGCCTAAAAATATCATTTAAAATCAGCAATAGAACCATTACACACCAACAGGAAATAACTATTTAAAAAAACCTGATTTTATTTCTACATTTTTTTCACTTCATATATTTTACACAAAACAACCTAAACAATGAATGGTATTTTCTGAATTTATTTTTCTTCCACACTAAATGAGATCTGCAGACCAGAGCAACAGAATCCAATGGGAAGTTGTGAGAAATACAAATCCAGATCTACTGGTTCAGCTTTCGTAAGGAGTATTCAAAAACTGTGCTTTACCACATTCTCCACACAAATGGTTACAATTTGTGAAGCCCTGTTTAACACCATATAATGGTCACCTTTCCATTAAAAAAAGAAAAAGAAAAACGTATATACCTTTATTTCCTCTTAAACTCTCATTGTTACAGTGCATATAAAGAAAAGTACATAAGCTGTAAGGGCAGAGCTCAATGCATTTTCACAAAGTGGGCACATCCATACACCCAGGACTCAGATCAAGAAAGATACCATTACCTGTACCTCAGCCTTCTAACGCTTTTAATTTCCCTTTTTAAGCTTAGGTATGGAAACTCATACAGCGAGTACCTTGCTTATGAAGCTGGAAAGAACCTAGCATAACTCCCAGGGAAATTGGTCAAACATTTGCACGGTTAGCCAAAATAGGCTGACTTTTTGAAAATGAGAGGAAGAGGGAGGGAGAGAATTCTCCAGCGGTTAAGAGATCCTGCCAGGCAGTGTGGAGTTTTACAAGCAGAACAGCAGCTCTGGAGTCTGAAACATTGTTTCAAAAGGGAACCACATTATTCAGAGCTATTAAGCAAATTACCTTTTCTGAGGCCCAGGGTATATAATCTGTATTTTTGAGAACCTGTAGGAGGATTAAATACTTCTGTATGTTAAACTCAGAATAAACTAGTCACTCAATTAAAAAGTCTGCAGGAGGCCTGCACTGGATACCATGGTGTAATAATAAAATGAATGACATCTAGGGCTTGCTCTCAATCAGATCACAATTTAATCTCCTAGTAATCAGGAAAGGAGCTTTATGAGATCTCTGCCTCTTGGAATCTTGACCTAAAGTGAACTGGCTGACATCATAATCCACTTCTATTCTCATAATACATGTTCAAAACTGATTTAATCTAAATGCTCTGGTATTATATGTCCGATAAAAATTTCATCTGAATTAGAGGTAGGGATTGCTGTAGGAATACTTATAATATTTTTGTTGTGTAGAAAAACATAACAATAAATATTTTATAGTATTTTACTATCAAAAATAATCAGAAAACACGCAGAAATTATCAATTACACCGTAAGATCAAGTTGTCTCAGATTCCAAGAAAAACATTTTTTTTTTTAATGGGACTCCTTTAGTTGGCAAACAACGCATTGGTGGAGCTCAGCACCAGAGTACGTCTCTCATTCTGCAATGAGAACTGCAAATTCAAGTAAGATTCCAAATTCATTTTGGAAATAGACGGGGGCTCACACAGCAATCCACAGCCTCCCAGCTTTCTGCGCACTGCTGACACCCACCTCTTTTCACGAATTTGATCGCTCGCTGCCCACGAGCAGCAAGGGAAAGATCTGGCCGAATTAAACCTCAAGCTGCCTTAGAGTTTGCCTCACTTTCCCCTCTAAGTTTAGCGGGAGTGTAACTTCCCGGAAACGCCGCTCCGCCCCCACAGGAAAGCGCCCATAGGCGCTTCCCATAGGTTCCCACGCTCCCGGAGGCAGCCGGGGGCGCACGAATTTGAAGGAGCGACTGCGCAAGCGCTGCGGTTGCGCGCATGCGCAGCGGCTCCGCGCATGCTCAGAGGCGGAGGCCGGCAGGGTCCTGGGAGAGCAGGGGAGGCCCGCCTGCCCCGCCCCCGCCCTCCGCGCGGAGCTTCCCTTCCGCGCGGCGACTGCCAGCTTCCCTTTCCGGGAGCTCAAGCAGCGGCCGCCGGTGTCTCTTTCTTCTCCGCGGCGTTTGCAGCTTCCCCGGGGCGGGTATGGCAGCCAGGAGACGCGGGGCCGGCCTGCGGCTCTGCGCCACTGGTGAGGACCGCGCGGGGGGCGGCGGGGGCGCGGGCGCGCGCGGGGACCCTCTCCGGGGCGCGGTCGGGCCTGGGCAGGGGTCTCCCGCCTGCGTGCGGGGAAGCTGGGGGCTCCGCCGAGACAGCCCCCGCCGCCGGGTCCTTCCCCCAGAGCGGCCGTGCCGGGGCCCCGTGCCAGGAAAGGATGCGCCTGCCTTCCATTCGGTTCTCTGCTTAGTGTGGCAGGAAGTTTCTATCGCGCTGACTCCACCGATGAGGCGCCGCCACCCCAGCTCGGGGCCAGACCTTGCTTTGGCTCTAGGTTCCGAGTCACGTCCCTTCTGATGAGTTTTGGCCCACCTGCGGCTGAGAGAGATGGCCAAGGAGGGGTCACGGTCAGGTCACGGTCAGGTTGCCCCCTTGTGCACTGTGAACCGTGATCAGGGCACGTGGGGGCCTTTCGCAGCCCCGTGCCGGCGTCCCCTACTCTGGTCCGCACTGGTGGTGTGTGCGTTTACCCGGCCGCCGTCCGGCTCCCGCTACGTGCCAGGCTGCGAGAGGTGGAGCTCCGTGTTGTTTCTACCCACACAGTGGGGGGAAGATAAACCAGGATTTTGAATGGCAGTTGGTTTTTACTGATAGTTACTATTGGAGAAATATAGAACGACTTCTGCGTTAAAGAAAAAAAAAGGTAAAATGACAAAAAGGAAAAACAGGATGAAAGTAAAAATATATTGAAAGAGAACCTCTGTTTCTCAGACTTACGAGCCTACATAAACCTTGCTGATCACTGGATAGTTGCCTGCAGAGTGAATATTTGTTACACCGATAAACTGCTTAGACTTCTGCATTGTTGGTGCCTCAGAATGGATCTGTGATGGTTTTTATGGTTTGTAAAAAATCCAAAACATTTTATAGATGACTAAGCACGTGGCACGAAACAAGTAATGAATAAGTCCGCATTTATTATAAACATTTCCCCCTGTTTTTTTTTTCTTCCAGTTTTTTTACTTGATATGGCTTTCTGTAAAGGATTTGTAGAAGATTTAGATGAATCGTGAGTATACCTATTTTTAAATAGTGTTTTAACTTCTTTAAACTCTGATATCTGAATATTTCCATGAACTAAAGTTTTGATAACAGAGGTAGTAATGACGGGTATTTATATAGCACTAAACTTGTTTCACGAGTTGTCCTGAGTGCTGTTGTACTTAAGAGTTTACTAACAATTCCATATTCTGCTTTATCATTTTTCATTGTATTTGTTACGTTTTTCTGCTTAAATCACAACCGAGCAGGTGCTGGAATTTGGAAACCATACTGTATACTTATTTTTCTGGTGCCAGGGCATGAATCACAAGGCCTTGCATATAATAGGCAAATGGGTGAGGAGTCCAGCTCCAGAGAGAACAGAATCCTGTGTGTGACTCTCAGGCCTGACCCTGGGCGGTTACAGGACCCTTCCAGGCAGGCCTTAGCAGGGAAGCTGTCCTCCCCACACCAGACTCAGGGCGCCAGTGCATGGCAGACTCTGGAGGGAGTTGTAATCACAGACTTGGGCCCCCAGGCCAGCCATGCTCACAGGCATATGTGCATTCCAAGCCCAGTTGCCTCATTTGGAGGCTTCCTTATTTGGGGCCCCATCTGGGGCGCCCCCTAGGCATCTCTGCTGACACCTCATTATGTGGGGGCTTTGCTGAGGCACATCTCTGTGCTTGGACTCAGTACTTTTCCACTCGTGTGTCTTTCCATCTTTCACTCTCCTGCCCACGTGTCCGTAATGAAGAGAAGCCTTTGGTTCAGTGCTCCTCTCCAGTGAGGTGAATTCTTTTGTCTGTGCTGCATCCACCCGAGCCTCACCTGGTACTGTTCACTTGGAAAAAAGGAACACTAAGGAGCTAGCACCTTTTTTTCCCCCCTGTGGGCTTACATTGTCACAGTAAGTGAGTAAAGGCTTGATGATTACTTTCAGTTTGGTTTGTTGTCCTAATTAACTGCCTCCTCACAACAACCTTGGTACGGTAGTGAGGAGGTCATTTGGGCACTGTGCTGTTCTGGAAGAGCATGATTCCTGAGGATCCATGGAGCACTAGCTATGCTGATGGATAACTGGAGAGTGACGGCAGATTGTGTGCAGAGTTCTCGATTCTGAAAGGACCCATTGTTAATGTGGAGGTAATCTGGTAAAATTTGGCAGTGCCTTGAAGGCTGTGTCAGAATAGATTTTCTTCTTCAGACTGCTGTCACTGTGGTGGCTTTGGCCTAAGTAGGAGGAAGGGAAAGAGGAGCAGGTGTGGAGACCAAGACCCACACCCGGCTCGGCAGGGTGCTGTGTGAACTTGCCAGGTGCAGCTCACCTGTGACAAGTTTCCTGTCACCAAAAAACACATCTGACCCACTCTCAGAGGCTGCAGTGGTCCCGCGAACCATCCTGACGGTCCCTTGGGTCTACGTTGAAAGATTAGGAAACCGGGGATGATAAGAGTATTACCCAGACTCAGATTTCTAGGTTTCTCTTTGATGCTCCTGCTTATTACCAAACCCAGGTAAGCCTCCTCATCTAATCAGTTCGGTCTGAGACACGGTCCGAGTCTTCATGGACACGGATACCTAGACATGGAAAAAGCAGCCACCAGCAAGATAGCAAAGATTGAGCAGCACAAAGAGTGATGTAAGACGGGGAACCGAATACCTGCTTTTAGGCAACCCGGGCATGAGCCTTTCCTAAAAACTCTCTGGGTCTGCTTATTCAGTAATGGGGTCTCAAAGGAGGAGATTGGTAGGCTCCTCACCAGGGACCTCATGGCCAGATCCTAAGCAATGGGGGGCCTGGTGGGCAGTCCCCACGAGGGTCAGCCTGATGACAGCCCGTGTGACTGTATGCGCAGGTAGTATCTCCTGCAGGTGCGCGGAAGAGCCCGGGAACGTTTCCCCACAGCCTCAGAGGGATTGGGTTGAGTCCCTCTGTCCCCAGGGTGGGCTGGAGGCCTTGTGCCACGGTCAGAGTTCAGAGGGAAGGTTGGGGAGGATTGTACTTCTTGGGCCTTTGGGATATCCGTGCACACTGATCCTGCTACCAGGGTGACGAGGATGCGTATGGGGCCCCCAGCTTGGGGTCCATGGCGACCAGTACAGCACTTTGGCCAGGCCTGGCCCTGGGTGAGGGCTTTCCGGCCCCTGCTGCTAAGCGTATTGTTCATGTAGATGTATTGTCTGTGTGACCTGCCATTCACCTTTGTCCCTAAGCCCCAGTGGGAATGGCTGTAATTCGGGCCATTTTAGTGGAGCGTGCGGAAGACTGAACCTGCTCGACTACCAGCTCTTGGTGCCATTTTCTCCCCAAAACAGTGTTGGCTGCCTGGTGAGTAAACAGCCACCCTGGTCGCTGAGCTGAAGGAAGACAGGGGTACGTGAGACTGTGTCTCCATTCAGTAGCCCCGTCTGGCCTGCGCGTGAAGCTGCGGCTACCGGGAGGCCGGGTAGTCGTTACAGTTCCCTCGATAAGAGAGTGCTGCTCTTGCCCCTCGAGGCACCTGACGTCGTGAAGAGGCTACTGGAGGTAGCTTGGGAGACAGTTATTGACCTTGGACACGTGCAGAGCAGGCTCAGGAGCAGAAATCCCAGGCTTGTCCCTAAACAGGGCCAGCTCTGGATCTCCAGTGGAATGGACAGGGAGCCTCCGGGAGCCCAGCTGCCGTCTTGCACCTTCATGGAAAGGTCTCCCAGGCATGACACCGAAGGAGGCGCTGCGTCCTCTGGCCCAGCGGGGACCTGATAGACCTCCAGGACCACCGAGGGGCCTGGTTCACTAGTGGCTCCTGTGGCTTAACTTGTGGGAGTTGGACGTGGCCGCCATGCAGCCCGAAAGCGACCTGTCCTTCAGCGCGCATGGGAAGGGGCCCCTGCGCGGCAGGCAGCTTCATGCGGTGGGAGCTCGTGAAGGTATCTGCCCCCCGGCCCCCACCTCCTGCTCATTGCTCCAGCCCCGGCGCAGGAGCCCTGCTGTGTTCTCGCGGGCTGTGGCTCACGCTTGGCCGCTTGGTTGCGTGGCAGATAAAACAGGATCCCCTGGCGAGATGAAACACTGGGTGAAGATCACTTCTGCTCCTAATAAGTGGGTTTTCCCGTAATTATTTTTACGGCATACAGTGTTATGTGAGTTTGAGGGTTGCCTTATATGAGTTTTGTGCCTTATGCAGTGCCCCCCCCCCCCCCATAAAGTGTTTTCTAAGCTGTGTGATTGCTCAGCCGAGAGGCCCGCGTGCTGCAGAAGGAGACCTAACCAACGAGCACAGCCTGCGTTTAGCCAGGTGTGGAGGCTGAAGCGGGCAGAGGACGGCCCGTGGGAATTCAACCTGCTTCAGGTTGGCAGGGCACACGGCCACTGTCGTGAGAAGACACTACACCGTTGTGAGAGGTGCGTCCCGCTCGTCAGGCTGCAGGCAGGGCTGTTCGTCCCGCCGCAGCTGGCTCCGCACGCGAGGGCTAGGGCGCGCCCGCACGCGGTGGCGGGGCGCCTCGTCCCTCCGCACGAGTCCACGGCATCTTGGGATCGCCGACGTTTCCTCTGCGTTTGGCCTAGCCACGTCCATGCCTCCGCGTTCCACTGACTCTGGCCACGCTCTCGGGCCCGGCGAGGTCACGTTTCCTGTTCAGGGTCCCTGGGAACTGCATCCGATAGCAGCCCGGCTCCACAGCAGCAGGCGCAGTCATGGAGCGTGTAACGGACTCTCGCGCTGCGGACCGCTCCTGACCCACAGGGTAGCTGAGCGCTTTGATGAACATTTGAGGGTCGGGCTTCATCCACGGGCGGGAGGGGGCAGGATTACCCCAGCCTGGGCTGCGCGCCTCGGGTCGCAGCAGGTGGCCAGCAGCTACTTCTCACCAGTGCTGCGTGGTTGCCCAGGCTGTCGTCTCCTTCCTTCAGGTTGAAAGTTACTGACTCTGCAGCCTCTCTGCCCTATAAAGGACCTCCACACCCTCTCAGCTCCTTCCTGAAGACTCGGGTCCCCGAGCGATGAAAAGACATTAAGGACTGGGAGACAGTAACCTCTTCCATTTACCACTGGGTGCAGAATGTGGGGTTTTGCCTCAAGAATAGTGACCATCAGTTGGAGAGCTCTCATTCCATAATTGGCCTAAGGCCTGGGCAGCTCCGTGTGATAGATACCAGTATGCACAGTAGTTTTTACTGAACAGAAGAGGAGCAAAGGGAGAAGGCGTGGGTTCACCAGCCTGGGAGATTGAGTAAGAGCTCCCACGGCACAGGACAGACTGCGTCCCGGTTGGACAGATGCGAGCGCCTGTGACCGGAGAGCTCGGCTGCTGGAGATGCGCTCTCTGTCTTAGTTGTAGGTTGAAGAATCTTACTAAAATATCCCCATAGAGACTTTCTGTCATTTCATTCGGTGTAGATTTTGAATACTGATTGCTGTGCAAGGTATTAGGAGATGAAATGAGCATTTTTATGGTTGGATAATACGTAAATAACTACGGTGCATGTGGAAATGGATGCGATTCATAAAGAGGATGAAGCTGATACGGAAAGATTGTTTCTAGCTGTGAGGAATTTAGGAATGCATTATAGAGTAAGGAAAGCTTTTAGCTGAATAGGATGTGAACGTGAAGGAATGTAGAAAGTCAAATAAACCTTTTGAATTTAGGGGCGCCTGGGTGCCTCAGTCAGTTAGGCATCCAGCTTCGGCTCAGGTCGTGATCTTGCAGTTTGTAAGTTCGAGCCCTGCGTTTGGCTCTGTGCTGACAGCTCAGAGCTTGGAGCCTGCTTCGAATTCTGTGTCTCCTCTCTCTCCCCTCTACTGCTCTCTCTCTCTCTCTTTCACTGAAATATTAAATTTTTTTTAATTTTAATAAAAATATTGTGAATTTAGCTGTGATACATACCACAGGCTGATTGGAAATCGTAGGGTGCTCATATCTGAGCAGAAAGAGAAGTTGGAGCTAGTACGTGAGTACGTGTAGTATTTATACTTCTTTTTGTTGGTGCTGGGAGGATATTTAGAAGGTGTCACATGAGATGAACATGATCAAATGAGCAGAATCGTGTTTTAGGAAAATTCTGTGGCTGTAGGGTATTGTGTCAGAGGGTCTAATCCCTCCCGCCCCCACCAGGTTGGGTGATTGACCAGGTGCACTCAGAGGACTCAGCCTGTAGTCGAAGTCACAGCTATGACTTATTATAGAGAAGGGACTCCATGCAGAACCGACAAAGGGAAAAGCCACGTGGGGTGAATTCCAGAGGAAACCAGGAACAAGCACCCAGAGTCCTCGCCCAGTTGACTCCCCTAGGAGATGCTAATTCCTTTATCCGGAATTGTGGCTGCAGGCGTGAAGTGTTATCCACCGAGGAGCTCAGGAGGGACTCAGTGCTCAGGGATTGTTACTGCGGGGTGGCCATACAGGCGCCCTCCTGCCCGGTCTGTACCAGGCGTTCAGACACCCACAAGGAGAGCAGATGTTCACCATAAAATCAAATTGTTTGCATGGCATTGGAACAATGAGCCATCTTTTTTCTTTTTCTTTTTAATGTTTAGTTTTGAGAGACAGCATGTGAGCAGGGGAGGGGCAGAGAGTGGGGGAGACAGAATCCTAAAGGCTCCAGACCCCGAGCTGTCAGCACAGAGCCCAGCACAGGGCTCAAACTCATGAACTGTGAGATCATGACCCAAGCTGAAGTCGTACGCTTAAGCACCTGAGCCTCCCCGGCTCCCGGAACAAGGAGCCATCTTATCAGGATGTGGTGGAAACCCTCCTGAAATTCAAGTTCCCAGATACTGACCGAGGGCCGAACTTTTTCAGGAATGCAGCCTGAGCTTAGCTGTGGTAACTGCAGTGCCCGGGTGTCAGCGGAGAGGCAGGAGCCACGCATCCCCCTGGGTTTCTACCGGGTCCCACCTGAGTTTTATTTTTTACTGTTGATTATTTTTTTAGTTCTTTACTTTTTTAAAGATGTTTAACGGATAACGTTTAGAGGTCATTTAGTAAAAGAATTACATAAAAATTTTGTGGAAAGAATTTGTTCCGTGCCCCAATATTTATCAGTTTATTATCTCCACCTGCTGTTCAGTGGAAACAGACACACAATCAAAGGTTGGTTTTCTGATTTTTTTTTCTAGGTTTAAAGACAATCGAAAAGATGACATTTGGCTTGTAGATGTGAGTATGTAAATTTTTGTACAGTTTTCTACCTTTGCTGTTTTGTTATTTTCTAGTCTCTTCCACATAAGCATGGTAATGCATGGTTAGTGCTTAGTGGATATTAGCCAGGTTTTGTCAGGTAGTACTCTTTGGGTTACTGTGTTAAAATGAACCTCAGAACGTTTGTGCTAAAATTCTGAAGGGGCCGACACATGGGTTATGGTGAGGGAGATTGTGGTCTGATTTTACTACAGAATTCACTCTGAAATTATCTGTATCACCTGATAGTCGAAATCATGTTTTCATCTTAATAGGGAATAAAATCAAATCTTCATCTTCCTTCTGTTCCTCACTTTCAAGTTTGGAATTTATTTAACCCTCATGTTTGGGCTTCCTTCTAACTTCCCTCAGTAAAGACTTAGCGGCACTGAAAGATGGAATGAGCACAGCGGACGTGACAATTGCCAAAGCCACGTGATGGGGTGCGAGAGCCGCTGTTCAATTTTTCTCTCTCCTTTTGTGTCTGTTTGAACATTTCCATAGCGTAATATTAAAAGATAGCTAAGTCCTGGGGTGCCTGGGCAGCTCAGTGGGTTAAGCGGCTGACTCTTGATTTCAGCTCAGGTCATGATCTCATGGTTTCTGAGATCGAGCCCTGCATCAGGCTCTGCACGAACAGCACAGAGCCTGCTTGAGATTCTCTCTGTCCCTCCTCCACTCGCACACTCTCTCTCAAAATAAATGTTAAAAAACAACAACAAAAAAAACAGATAAATCTTGTTTCTTGAAGGCACAACAGTCTGTTACCCCTTTTCACTGGAGGGACCTGATTCCACCATCTGGTGATATTGAAGAAAGAGGAGCTGTGGTTTCAGTTTAATTATTTTTTTAATGTTTTATTTATTTCTGAGAGAGAGAGAGAGAGACAGCGTGAGCAGGGGAGGGTCAGAGAGAGAGGGAGACACAGAATCCGAAACAGGCTCCAGACTCTGAGCTGTCAGCACAGAGCCCGACATGGGGCTCGAACCCACGAACCGTGAGATCATGACCTGAGCTGAAGTTGGACGCTTAACCATCTGAGCCACCCAGGTGCCCCTGATTTCAGTTTAATCGACCGGACTTGTCCTTATGCCAAACCAGCCATCTGAGTGATCCCCTCCTTGCCTTAGCAGGAGTTATGCCTGGCATAGCAAAGGTACCTCCTGTGCTGGGATTTTTGTAAGAAAAGTCAGAAGTGTTCATTCTGAACACTTAAGGGCTGTCTGTGTCACGTGTGTGTATTTGGTGGTTTCATTTTATATGTAACATAGGCTCACTGTAAAGCAAAGGCGTTTTTCTCATAAGTTATTTATTTCAAATAGGAATCCCTAATCATTTTACATGAATTTAAGGTAAAACCAGTGTTGAAGTATATGGGAGTTACACTGTCTAGACTCATGTTTGCATGTTTTATACTTTATTGTGTACCCCCTTTAAAAATTATATTTAGACGTTTTGTCTATCAGATCATTTAGTCAAAGTGATTCTTTAAACACTAAGATTGATGTACGTCATAACACAGCATTTTAGTAGTTGTCTTTTCTTCCCCCCCAACAAGTTTTATGCACCGTGGTGTGGCCATTGTAAAAAACTGGAACCGATTTGGAATGAAGTTGGTCGTGAGATGAAAAGCATTGGTTCTCCAGTAAAAGTTGGGAAGATGGATGCTACTTCCTATTCTAGTAAGCATTTGCTCAGTTTATTGTGTTACTGTTCACCTAGTGAAAATGCTGTAAGTACATGAAGCGGTACTCAAGGTAAGAAGAAGTACCTGTTTTTTGCTCATATAAATTAAGGTTAACTTAAAAATTGAAGATTATATACTTTATTGAGGTAAGTGAATTAGCCATCAGGTGTGTAGCTTGCTGTGTGCCTCACTCGTGTACCTGACCTGCTGGGCCCGGCCCCCTGGAGGCGTCCGTTTACCTGAGGCAGCTGCAGACCTTTAAGTTCTGTGCCGGTGTGTTGTGTGTCGCAGGATGAGAGCTGCTGTGACAGCAGCCTGACGCGCGTGCTGGAGGAGGAAGTAGGGACTTCAAAACGTCAAGTTGAGTTAGAATAAATACAAGAGAGGATCTCTACCACATTAGAGAGAAAGTTACAGCAAAATCTTAGAGTTGAAGCTGGGTAGGTGTGTTCCGGACACTGGCCGGTCCCGGAGCGGAGGTGGGCAGGTCACAGCCGTGGGCACAGCCGGCCCACTGCCCGCGCTGTAGACAGAGCGGCGCCGGAGCCCAGCCACGCTCGCTTGTTCACCACCGGCCGTGCCCGCTGCCGCGTTCCGCTGGCGGCCGGGCAGGTGTGACGGAGGCCGTCGTCCCGCGGCGCCTGGGGTACTTGTTACCTGACCCTTTACAAAAATAGCTTACTCGTGCCGATCTGAAAGGATTTGAGAAAAGAGAATTAACGTTTAATGAAGTATGAGGTATCCTAGAAATTTGGAAGGAGCAAGGCTTCACAGAGCTAAACTGTAGTCACATCCTGCTGCCACTTTAACTACTGCATTGCCGTTGTCTTTTATTGTTTTTTTTTTCTTTTGAGATTTGATTGATGTAGCACATGTAAAGTCCCTTGTGTTCATTACATACAGGTTCCCTTTTCCTTTAGTTAATGAACAAAGTGGAATTAGGTAGTGCACGTTTGTTTTTAGGAAATCAAGATTGTACTTGGCGCAGCTTTGGAAGAGTACAGACCTGTCGGGGTTTTTTTGTATTTTTTTTTAATGTTTTTTTTATTTCTGAGAGAGAGAGAGAGACAGCGTGAGCAGGGGAAGGTCACAGAGAGAGGGAGACACAGAATCTGAAGCAGGCTCCAGGCTCTGAGCTGGCAGTCAGCACAGAGCCTGACGCGGGGCTCGAACCCACAAACCGTGAGATCATGACCTGAGCCGAAGTCAGATGTCCAACCGACTGAGCCACCCAGGCGCCCCAGACCTGTGTTTTAATCCCACATCTCCTGTGTGCTGCTTCCGGGGCTTTGAGGGAAGCCTTAACCTCGCCATGTTCGTTTCCATGTCTGTAAGTGGGCGAGGAGGAATCCTCAAGGCTGTGAGGATCATATTAGCATTTCCTATTCGAAATCCTTACCACAGTGGCTAGCGCATGTAAGATGAAGTATAAGACCAGATTTCAGGGGTACCTCACGTCATAGTGTTTTAGATTTCACCAGTTGTAAGTTAAGAGTAATACACATTTTTGAGAAGGCAGATGACTAGATAACAATGTTTTTGGCAGCAACAGGTAGGATAGAAAAGAACAGTTAGAGACAAGGTCATCTAAGGCGACTTTCGTATGCATCTTGGTGCAGGATGGTGAGAGCCCAGACGTGGTGGGGACAGTGGAGTGGAGAGGAAACAGTAATCCTTAGACACAGTTTTGAGGCTGAGGTCACAGAGCTGATGAGTCGGCTCGGTGGTACAAAGAATGATCAAAAGTCACAGGGTAAGATTCTTAGCATCGTTACAGAACTGCGCCACTACTGGCTGTGTGGAAAAGAAAAGCTGATTTTCTGTGCATTTCCCTGTTCTCAGCTGGTATGAATTTATGGTACTTGGCTTAATGGTGTTTGAGAACAAGGCCCTGGGGTACAAAGAGCCAGGGTACAGTTAGGTGTGAGGGTTGCAGTCACAGAGTCAAACACATGCGTTGTTGAAAGTCTGAGAAGAGACCAGAGCGACGCAGGAGTTTTCACCCAGAGAGAATGGTATGCTTGGGTTGATTGACTGAAAGAAGCGTTTAACAGTGTTTGAGAATTGTTGCTTTCAACTGTTGCTCCTGAAAGTATGTTCTTGTCTCTTGGGAATCTTGTCTCATTCGTTCTTGTTGATTAAACGTGCGAGTACTTAAACTTCATCCTCAAAGTCTGCCATATTCCCTCAGTCTGTTCACTAACTACTGTGTTAGTCTCTAGAGGTTAAAGACAGACCAAGCAAACTCTTTTTGTCCAGGAAATGGTTAGTCTGCTAGAGGGGAAGATATGAATAAACCGACAGGTGCAATGAAGTCTCAAACATGGCAAATTCCTTTGACCATTTGAATCATTTAATGGAGTAATAAAGTCAAATAATACATAAAGGGATTAGGGCATAAAAAGAAAAATGAAAAAAATAAATAATAAAAATAATGCTATGGTTCACATTAGGTGAATCCTGTTTTATAGCATCTGATTCATTAGCTTACCGTTCAGTACGTATTTAGTGCCTGTGTATGTCACTGTCTAAGTGACACTATGATTAGGGAAAAAGTATCTAAGACCTTTTTCCTGTGTAGCTTAGAAAAAATGTTTTAAATGCTGTGATTGAAGTGCAGTGTTCTTGTAGGTACTAAGATTTAATATGTGGATTGTAGCTTTTTAGGCACTTTATGGCAGGACTGTTTTTCATCCTTTTGTTCATAATCCATTAAGAGGTTTCAGTTTCTGGCTCTGATACATGATTGTTACAGATTTTATTTATTGTTCACTTAGCGTTGTGTCCTGCGTCATGTCGAGTTAGTAGGAGAAAGAAACCTCTATAGACCACACAGAGCGCCTTATCTCCAGCGGAGCACCGAGCTTTGGGGAAAGGGATGGGGAACTGGTGCGCCAGGAGCACCCTCTGCCAGATACTGTGACGGGTGCTTCCTACACCTCATGTCCTTTACTCCCCTTTCCCAACCTGTGCGGTGATGCTTGCTTGTAAGTCTTTGTGGCTACCTGAATCATACCGACATGGCTTACTGAAAAATCATTCTTTTGTCGAAAAGTTGTAGAGTCCGTATTCATTCAGTAGGTATTTAATGAGCACCTACTGTATGCCAGAATGTACCAGACACATTCTAGGCATCAATGATACATCAGTGACCAAAACAGACAAAAATCTCTACTCTCTTGGAATTTATTTGCTAGATGGGAGAGACCAACGATAACCAGTAAACAAGTTAAACTGTCATGTTACTTAGTGTTTAGTGTCAGTAATAGATGCATTTTATTCTTTATTATGAATTCAAGGTGATATTTATGTGCTATTGAAAAAATATTCATGTTATTTTTTAAAAAAGGTTTAATATATTTGCAAACTACTGTTTAGAGATTACAAATAGATTTATGGTATGTAAATCTTAAACTTCCCTTAAATACCTCAAGGCAGCTCCAACACAGGCCTCTTAGTAGAACTTGGAATCAGACAGATTAATAATTGATTTAATTATAATTGTCTAATTGTAAATACTTAAAGGATTGGTGTATCACATGTATTTCATCCAACTCCATGGATCACTTTTGGCATTCACCGCATTAGTGTTTCTCAGCATTTAGTCCACAGACAATCTATATTAGGATTACCTGGGCTGCCCAATATAAATTTAGACTCTGAATGGGGCATCTAGGTGGCTCAGTCGGTTAAATGTCTGACTTCGGCTCAGGTCATGATCTCACGGTTTGTGGGTTCGAGCCCCACGTCGGGCTCTGCTGACAGCTCAGAGCCTGGAGCCTGCCTCTGGATTCTGTGTCTCCCTCTCTCTCCCTGACCCTGCCCTGCTCACGCTGTCTCTTTCTGTCTCTCAGAAATAAATTTAAAAATAAATTTAGACTCTGAAGACCCACACCAGCCCCACCAAATGAAAGTTTTGAGATTGGGTCATGATAATCTGTATTTTTAACACGAACTTCAGGTAATTCTGTTCTGTCTCAGTTGGAGAACCATAGAGTAAAGTATTATTTTAATGAATAGTTGTTTATAGGATTTGGGCTTGGAGAGGGATAGATTATTCAGTGATCAAGTACGGAAAATCTCGTAGAGTACCTGAGGGTAGCTTATTCTCAATCGTGTAATTGCAGAGATCAGAGGTGCACGTCATCACACTCAGTCAACAAATCTCTGCGTATAGAATTCTTGAACTAGAAACTTGAACTGTCATGAATTATCCAGCCCTATGTGTTTGGAATGTGTGAAAATTTTCCTGATGCATGATTTTAACTAATAATGCTATAATCAACATTTAAAAAACTATATATATATAAAGATACAGATTTTAGTCTTTCTTAATTGAGAACCAGAATTGCTTCTCATTTGTAAGTTAAAATATCTCCTGATACCCCCGGTGACGGTATACTGGTTTGTATTACGAAACCACTGAAACTCTGTTTATTCCTCAGCAGAAGTGTGATATCATTTCATATTCAAGATTTTACTTCACCTCCCACTGATCATAAGCTTGAAAGGACATTTGGCCAATGACACTCTTACTCTGATTTCTTGCTCACAGATGACATTGGCAAATAAGTTTTACCTTTCTAGACTACAAGCCCTTTGGATCAGTGACTCTATTTCAGAATTGCTCAGTCTTGGCACTTCGGACATTTGGGGCCAGATGATTCTTGTTTGTGGGGAGAGGCTGCTGTGTGTCGTAGGATGTATAGCAACGTCCCTGATCTCCACCTTCTAGGTACCTGCAGCACCCTTCTCCCCAGCCCGCCCTCCCCTAACTTGTGACCAAAAACCTCTCTAGATACGGCCGGTGTCCCTGGAGGGCCATCTCTCAGTTGAGAACAACTGCTGTATTTGATAACGTTTTCGTGTTAGACACGTAGTGACACTCAGTAAATACTAAAAATAATATTTTGAGCTGAGAAGGATTTCACATTAAGGCCGGCCCCTCCCTTCTCCCGCTGCCCACTGTGTAGGTGAAGTGATAGCAGGTAGTTAGCAGTGAAATGACTGAGTAGTTTCAGACACCAAAATAAGAGGCGAGAATCCGAGATCACCATGTTTTACATCCAAGCCTGTCTCCACCATCGAGTTGTTGTTATCATTTCACGGAGAGGACAGAAAGGAAGTAAGGGGCTGCATGTGTAACCTCATTTTATGAGCATTTAAAATGATGTAGTTTCAGAGAAGTTATTCATGTTATAGACGGATTTATGAAGGAATGGATCTCAGGTCTCTACTATGGAAAAGTAAAGAACAAAATGTTAAAATTCAGACTTTGAGCTTAGTCATAGCCCTGCTATCGATTCAGTGCTTGCGCTCAAACAAGTTACCACATCTTCCTAAGTGTTAGTTTCTTTATCTGAAAAGTAACATTAGCACCCTTCCCCTGCTTACAAAATTGTCTGAAGGTGTAGTTGAAGGTACATTAAAGTCAGTTATAAGGTATTTTACATTGATAGTTCTCCTTACTGTTATCTATACATTGATGTCTCAGCAGCTACCTAACAGATCAGGATCAAAAATAGAAAGGAAATGGACATAACATTTGAGGATCTCTGTGTGCTAGGCTCGCTCTTAGACTCTTGTCCACATGCTTTCTCATTTTAAAATGCCAGCCACAAGTCCAGCCAGATGAGTGCTGTCCTCAGAAGGAAAAGAGCTGCCTAGATGATAAATGGGAAGTTGGAATCCTAACCTTCATCATTTTAAGTCTATAACCCATGCTGTCTTTGCTTGTGTGCTTTTTAAAAACTTTATTTATTTATTTATTTATTTATTTATTTATTTATTTTTATACAGCTGTTTTCCTCTAGAGAAATGTGTTTTTAGGAGTCACTGTCAAGTTGAAATTATATCAGAAATGAAGTTACTGCTCAGAGTCAAGGTGCTAGAGAGAGGGTAGAATGCGTCTCCATCTTACGCATCTGCCAAGGAAATTAAGTACTTAGGTGGACTTAAATGTAGATTTTTGCTCTGAAAACCATTTTGATAACCACCACTGCATTTTCTCATTGATTGTATATCTTCTTCACTAGATTTGCTTAAAAATAAACCTTACTATAAATTGTTAGTGGAATATACACCCCCTCCCAGTCAATTCGATTAGTCTTAGTTGAAGGTAATAAGGAGTGAAATTTCCCCACCTCCTTGATTTAGGAATGAGGGGCATTAAGAGCATATTTATTTGCATAATACCACCCCCAAAGCATTTTTATATTTTTACTCAGAAGAGATGAGTGTCAATAGCTGTAGTCTCCAATTAAAATAGACTAGACAAAATTAAATCCTGCAGTAGAGAGGGGCACAAAGAAAGTATGTAATTGGTTTAAGTTCATCCGGTTGTTCAGAGGCAAAACCTCTGTCTTCAGAACCTGTTATTTTCGGTTACATCTGCTGTTTGTGTTGCCTCTAATAAAACCTTCATCGCTGTCCCGACCTTGACCCTGTCCATCAAAACCAGTTCATCACTGTCCTCACCCTTTCAGTCACCTTTGTTCCTTTTCAAGGGAGAAACTCTATACTGATGAGCAAGGAAGGCCGAGAGATTTTGACTATTACTTTGCCACAGATTCACTTTGTCATGATTCTGTGTATTGGGCAGTGCTGAGAAGCCAGAGATCACTGGTTCCTAAAGTGACTGGTAAACCAGAACCCCCGTACCACAGGGTCCTTACACCCAACTGTGATAAAATATCCCAGAAATCGCTACAGTTAACAAAGGGAGAGATCCTATGAATGAAAACACTATATTTTATATAAACTGATATGGTTGTATAAATTCACTGTACACTGCCTACTAATAGAGACTGCTTTCTTTCTTTCTTTCCTGTCCTGATTGCCTGAATCTGTAAAGGATAGTATTAATTTGCAGTAGTGATTGTTGTATCTCTTCAAGTCCTAATTCTGTATTTGATTGTTTTTGTTTCTTCTTTCCCTCAAAAAGATGGCTGTTGTAGCAGCCGTACCTCATTTTCATTAACCTGAGGACTTCAGAATAATCTTTGAAAGTAACTCGAATGATTCTAGGTTATTACAACTGCAGAAACTTATAACTAAGTAGATAGTTTCTAGATCATGTATCTATCGAGTGCAGAAATTAAGTAATTTTGCAAATACAATTTATCTTTTTAAAATTAAAATATAATGCACTTCTTTTAAAACTTAGAAAACACTAAAGGAAAGAGCGATTTTGCTGTTTTTTGTTTTTGTTTTTTATTTATTTTTATTTATTTTTTGCAAGGAGCCAATGAGACCTAGAAAAAAGTATTTGTCTTGGAAAATGAAATCAGATGACAAGTGAGACTTTATATGTACATAGATATAATATTTTTTTAAAGAGGAATATCTTTTAAAATAAATATTCTTTTACCTATTCTTTTGGCATTTGTTTCTTAATTTGTTATAGTGTTTTGTGCTGGCCGTAGGTTGAATTATTAAGTAATTGTTTTGTATGAGAATGTCATGTTTTTTTCTTTTTTGTGTATGAATTTACATTCTTTTTAAAGACTTAAAAACAACATAGCTATAAGGGTTTGTATAAATCTATATTTTTAAGTAAAAGGCTCATTTACTACCTAGTTTCTCATTTTTAAAAAAAAAATTTAGAATTATTTATTCTTTTTCTTATCAAGGCATTGCTTCAGAGTTTGGAGTTCGAGGTTATCCAACAATTAAGCTGTAAGTTGAGTGTTGTATGTTTATATGTGTATTTTTTATTAGTTCACTCTACTTACGTTCTAGTACGTTAATTTCTAGTAGATTCCTTGGAAGATTGGAGATGGGTTCAGCAGTTCTTTCTAGGTGCAGTATGTGATCAGAGGAGAGGGGCTGCCTTTCCGCTTTGCTTTGTACTGAAGCGAATGTGGGGTTTCTGTAATTGACTGAATGCGCTCTGAGTGCTTCCTGTGTGACAGGCGCCCCCCGCCCAGGACCAGATGTCCAGCTGTCAGTGATGAAAAAGGGCTTTTACCCTTGAGGAGCCCAAGAGTGTATTCTACTGTATCATGCGAATCCTGTCTCCTAACAAATTTTACTTTTATATAATTAAAATAGACTTATTTCAGTAGAGATGAAAGTAACAAAGAGAATCAAATTGATGTATTTAATTCTAATCTCTAAGTGTTGACGAAGTCTCATATAGGGTGTATACAAGTTGGGAGGAATGGTGTGCAAATTAATTCTAAATGACTTATAATCATAATTTTATCGAATTTTCTCTTGAGTTTCTTCCTTATTTTGGTAGTGTGCAAGTTGAGGGATAACTTTGAAATATATTTTTATAATAAACTCAGTTTTATTTCAGTATTTTGGAAAGCTCACATTTCAAAATTTGACTGATTTTAATTTTTTATTTCTTGGGTTTTGTGTTGACTTCCTTCCTTCCCCTCCTTTCAAAACATGTTTGCCAAGCTTCTTTTATTTGTGTTAAGTAAATTACCCTTTCTGTTCTTTTTGTTTTGTTTTACATGTTCCCTTGTGCTTTCACTTTTTTTTTTTTTAAGTCACAGTTGGACATATAATTCGTTGGCAGGCTTCGGGAAAATTAATTTTCTAGAATGGGTGTTTTATGCATTGTTTTTACTCTGTAATCTTAGAACCTCAGTCAAGTTACAGTGATGTTGTGTTGCTTAAAATTTGTTTTCTCTCTACCAAAATACTATTAATTCCCTGTCATTTTTTTAACCTAGAGAAGATAGTGAGAATTACAATGTTTTGACAAGTTTTTGTCTGTGAATGTGTACAGTGTGTACTTTTCAGAAGGCATAGATACAATGCAAGTATCAAATACAGACTGAACTGTTTTCATGTGATTTTAATAAAATATGCCCTTTTTCTTTATTTTTTGAGTTGTTGGTCCCCTGAAGCCAGTTGCCTACTGTATTTTACATGGTTATGCTACTTCTAAAACAGCGCTTCTGCATTTACTATTTTATATTTCATAATTTTATGTAACAATAGTGATTAGCATTAAGTACTAAAAGAGTTGAAATAATCTCAGCTTTCATCCTTTTTTATTCTTTTTAAGATTAAAGGGGGACTTGGCATATAATTATAGAGGACCACGAACTAAAGATGATATTATTGAGTTTGCTCACAGAGTATCCGGGTAAGTTTTTATTAGGAAAGGCCTTTACTTACATATGATACTGATACTTTTATGATACTCATACATATGATACTGATATTTTTAAATTAAATGTATTTTAATAGACCACATTAAACGCACATTTTTTAGGGTCTTAAATAAAATCTGTTCATTTATAACCAAAGGTAGGGTTAAGTAGCATATGCAGAGAGATACTTTAAAGAAGCAAAATAAACTGTGATGTGTATTGTATATGTGTTAACCTCACATTTAAATTCATTTCATATGTAGAAATAAATTTTCCCCAGTGGATTTTTTAATGCATTTTCAACATTTGATTACTTCTAAGAACTTTGAATTATAATTTTTATTTTACTATAAATTTGCTCTTGTACTGCCTCATTTATATCAACTTATTTTTCTTGTTCCCTAATGTCAGAGTTTTTAAAAGAAACCCCACAGTATCATTCTTCTGAATAGACTTGGGTTTAATCCCTGGCCTGTATTACTGGAAAGTTTTTTTTAGATATAGTTAACTAAAATACTTACCTTGATCTGTTACATGCTGCTTTTTGCCAGCTGTGAGGTATTATTGCACATTTTGCTCAGAATGTGGCATAATTAGAACCCAGGTGCCTATTTAAGTTATAGATCTGAGGTTTTACTGATAAGGAAACAGAAATTCTTTCATAAGCATCCTCTTGGTTTGAATGTGGTGATTTTGTTCTTTTAATCTACATCTCCCTTGCTGGGGTATAAAGAAAGTTGGTGCTTATAATTATTCAATGCGGGTGTGTGGTACTTCTTAAGGAGAACATTCATCAAGGTAGGTTAACCTGTATTAACTTTGAAAGTATAGGCACTTTCTTGTGAGTTCAACAGAACATATTATATAAATACCTTTAAAGAGCTTTAAAGTAAACTGGAATATTGGTGTGGGTGGGGTGGCTTGTTGAGTGCATGGCACTGTATGGGTTAAATTATTTGAGAAAAGGCACAGAATTAAGAATGATCTTTATTCAAGTCTGCAAGACTTATTGATAGAATTCTCACTGTATTGTTTCACTAATTGCATATTTCATTTTCTTTACATGCTCTCTGAATATACTTTAAGATACCTTCCTCTTATACTGGGGCGTTGCCGGTGGAATGTACCTTAATCCCTGTGGTTAGATTAGTCTTCATGTGTTGGCAATTTTTAATGAGTTTTACTTCAAGCTTAAGATGGACCTCTGATGTAACTGGGGGTGGGGAGGGGAGGACTCTGTTGCACACAAATTTCGTGACTCGGTTCTGGACTTGCATCACTTACCGGTTAATTACTCAAGTACAAAAATAGAGGCGAGCACGATGCGGTGCATCTGAGGAATTGTGCATTTTGAAAATATGTTTGCCTTTGCAAACTCCGTATTCTTTTTGCAGATTTAGTGCAGTAAAAATCTGATAATGCAGACCACATTTCTGAGAAGACTGGCTCTTTTTTAGTTTTTGAATAACATTTTGTAAGTGATATGTTTTATAATAACCTTTCATATGAGCTTTCTAGCATTTAAATGGATATAAATCTTCTTCACAGAGGATTCTAGTTCCCTGAGATAACACATACACATGTGTGTTAGCATGAATGATCTCATGAAAGGGAAAAAAAAGTAATTCTCATGTGGATCACTTTATTTTTAGCTGAGGACTCTCGGTGGATTATAGTTCTGTTCTTCCCTACCTAAATACTGGCTAAGATGGTACTCTCTAAAGTGATGTACTTTAAACTTGTTATTTTTCTTAAACTTATTTTTTAAATTGATAGATTAACTCATGGGTACTCTGTTTTTATTATGTGGATACAATAGTGGTCATGGCTATACTTTTATTAGATTTATGTGGATCGGGTGATTACTTAAAATGCAATTACTACAACATTAAAACATTATAACTTTAGACCTGTATTGTGTACTATCTTTAGGTCAAACACAAGTTAGTTTTTTGTTTTGTTTTCAAACAGGGCTCTAATTCGGCCACTTCCAAGTCAGCAAATGTTTGAACACGTGCAGAAGAGACATCGTGTGTTTTTTGTTTATATAGGTGGAGAGTCACCTTTGAAGGTATCACATGGTTTTATTTTTTAAAGTCATAAATACAGATGTATTGTAATTGAATTTTCTGTATAGCCAAAACTTCATCCAAAACTTGAAATTACTTCACTCTTATTGGAAATATTTTAATTCAGTCTGAATATTTTTCTAATGAAAACACTCTCTTATATGCCCTCTTTTGTGTTTGCTTCAGGAAACAGAAATGAATTAAAAGATGTTGCTTGCCTTAGTATTTCTTCTCTTATTGACCTGATTACTCAGATTTTACTTTTTAGCATTTTTGGCTCTTTGAGACTGCAGAATGCAACTTGAGTGTAAACTTTTTAAAGATCTTTATATATATATATATATATATACATATATATATATATAAATATCTTTTCCTGTAACTTTCATGTTAGTAAATAGGAATTGAGCTTGTATTACACTTTATATTTAGAGGAGTATGAAAGCACTGAGTTACAGTGGTCTTTTTGCCTTAGAAACAATTTATTTCATGTGCTACTTACATTCCATCATCTTCTCACATAAAAACACTACGGCACCACTTGTGAGGAGACTGCCGAGGACGGTACTGCTGCTCTGAGTGCTTAACGAGGAATGAATTCTGATCTTCGTATTTAAAAGTAACCGTTTTTCCATTTGTATCTTCACAGGAGAAATACATCGATGCTGCTTCAGAACTAATTGTATATACATACTTCTTTTCTGCCTCAGAAGAAGTGGTTCCTGAGGTAATATTTAAAATTGGATTTTAATGACTTAATTTCATTGTTTAAATTATCACTTGATCTAACTTATAGAAACAGTAAACATGTTAACTCTTTACTACTAGTACCAGATTGCTTTTTATTAATAAGCAAATATCACTAGATTCCTAGCATTTAGGGACTGTGTTTATTGTTTGTGCTTTTTTCCTCTTTAAAATAATAGCAATAGTAAGAAGTGATAACTCAGACTGTTAAATTGGCTTATAAGTAATGGAGTGATTAATGTATTTATATATACTCACAACTACTTCTTACATGATCATGTGCTGTGCATTCTGTTAAGTCCTTGATAATTGATGACAAGCAAGATCTTCAGGGTCCTGATAGGGCGGAACTTACATTCTCATGGGAAGAAGAAGTATGCTAAATTTTACTGTTGCTGATGACATCTTTTGGGTAATGTTCAGTAAATAAATACATAAACACAATATAACTAATATCAAGACAGAAGTTAAAGAACATTGTGATAGTAGGGACATGAGGGTGGGCTCGCTACTCTAGATCAGTTGATCAAGAAATGTCTGATAAGAAAATATTTGAGCTGGGACTTAAGTGATGTGAAGGAGCCATGCAAAGATCTGTGGCCAGAGTGAACTAGAAACTGGGAAGAGATATTACAAATGCCCACGATGAGAACACTCTTGGGTGTATTTGAGAGGCAGGTGGTGGGGCCAGTGTGGCTCTAACACAGTGAGAAACGAGATAGGCCAAGAGGCCTGTGGAGGCCTTGCAGGTCATGGCCATGCATGTGATGCACTAAAGTTAGTGAAGGACTTGGTCTCATGTTCATCTTAAGGACTTTCCTCTGCTAAGAGTGGAATGAATTGGATGGGGAACAGAGTAGATCACAGAGCAGTTGAACGCATGAAGTAATCTGGCAAGTTCGGGCTTAGAGGTTTGTAAAGGAATGGAGAGAGGTGAAAATTCTGTGTTTTAGAAATGAAATTGTTCGAGGTTGCTGACCTGGAGGAAAATGGAGGAATCAAGGATAACTGCTAGGTGTTTGGTGATAGTTTTCTCCGCGAGCTTGGGAATATTGCGCAAGGAGCAGGTTTGGGAATGGGCGAGTGATCAAGAGCTTTGAGTTGTTCATTTTCATTCCGTTCAGCCTATTAGACATCCAAGTACAGCATCAAATCCACAATTGGTTATAGGGTTCTGGAGTTAAGGCTATGTAAATAAACTTTGCAGACACAGAATGCAAGTTTTTAAGGAAATAAGTGGGCCCAGGACCTGAAGACTACCAAAGAAAATGAGAAGAAAGTAGCCAGTGACTGGGAAAACAAGATGAGTGGGAAGCCAAGATTAAAAAAAAAAGAAAAACAACAAGACAAAAAATGTTTAAAACAGAGGGATCCAGGGGCACCCAGGTAGCTAAGGTGGTTAATACGCATCCAACACTTGGTTTCAGCTCAGGTTGTTAATCATGGTTTGTGAACTCGAGCCCCACATCAGGCTCTGAGCTGACAGCGTGCAGCCTACTTGGGATTGTCTCCGCCCCTCCCCCCCCCGACCAAAATAAACATTAAAAAAAAACTTTTTTTTTAATGTTTTATTTATTTCCAGGAGAGAGAGAGAGAGAGACAGCGTGAGCAGGGGAGGGTCAGAGAGAGAGGGAGTCACAGACTGAAACAGGCTCCAGGCTCTGAGCCGGCAGTCAGCACAGGGCCCGACGCGGGGCTCGAACCCACGAACCGCGAGATCATGACCTAAGCGAAAGTCGGACGCTTAACCGACTAAGCCACCCAGGCGCCCCTAAAAATTATACTTTAAGAAAAGAGGGTCCATTGTGCAAGGTCCTCGCAAAGAGGTCAAGACGAGGAGTGTAAAGTTAACCATGATACTTGTCCGCACATGGAGTTTCGTGGTGGTTGGTTTTATGAGGGCAGGTGCCTCTCTGCTGTCGTTTGACAGAATGCGGGTAAGAAATTGTAGGTTTCTCTTTAGAAAGGTTTTGCTGATCAGGGACCTGAGAAGTTTGGCAGTAGCTGAGGAGAAACATGAAATCAAGGGAAGCTTTTTCTTTCTAATCAGTTTAAGTTACGAAAAATCAAAAGTTTTTCTTTTTCCACAAAGGTAACTCATAATGTATATTTGATTAATTTTTGTTCCTTACTTTTTAATATTTAGGTAGTGTTGTTTTAAGAAGATGACAGAGTTACCTAGAGCACGTGTCTAGTGCTTCCTGCAATATGTACATATACAGTTCAGCTCCTCGGGGAGCCTCAGACCATTTCTGGTCAGCTAAAACTCATTCTAGGTTTATTTACTTAGTTTGGTCTAAGAAGTTATTTTGAAATATTTTTCTTATGCATTTATTGGGGGAGGGGTAGATAGGATGAATGAAGAGCCATTTTCACCATTAGATTCTCAAATAGATGCACCAAAGGGTCATGAACCTCTTTGGAATATCTCACTGTGACGGAAAGTTCGAGAATGGACTGGAACTTTTAGTCCATTCTCCTCTCCAAAGCCCAGGGGACCACATTTTAGTGTTAGACACGAGAATGCACACCACAGCCTCACCTCTGAAGCTCCAATTTCCTTGGAGCGCAGCAGAGGGCATGCTGCGTTCTGGGTCCTGATGCCGTCCGACTCCACGCCAGTCTTTGTGCAGGGACAGTGTCTTAGACCAGAATTCTAGCTGCTAAACATCTGGGTGGGCACAGGCAGTGTCTGCTACATGGACACACTTCTGGTCATCATGTGTTGTAATTATTACTAGCTTCTCAACTAGTTTCTTCAAACATTCCTTAATTATTCCTGCAAGTATCAATATTTGTCATCACTGATTTAGTTCTGTGTATATGGTTGCAAAAGTCTGTTGGGTGGGGAGTCAGTATTATTTCAGAATAATAAGAGGATTTTTACTCCCATAGAGAATTCTCAAATAAGGACAAAGCCCATGATTTTATTTCCCCACCCACCTACTCCCATTTTGAACTTTAGGTTTAGTCATGCAAAGCTTCCTTAGCTTTACAGCTTTTCAGCTAGTATTTATGAAAACCTTAGTAAGTGTAAGAAGGGATATAAAGATGAAGACAATTTCTAACTTCAGGATACTTAAAGGTGAATGGACAAAAATGGCCTATAGACAAATAACTAATATTAGTGAGTTTAAGGGAACACAGAGAGGAGGAGAGGTTCAGAATATATGGAAATCAATGCCTGTAAGATTCTTTCTACGTAGTAATGGTAAGAGTATGGCCAACTTGGGCATCCTTGAAAGAGAGGGATGCTGAATGTTAAAACTACTTTGAAAGCATGTTTTGTAGATGAGTTGCCAAGAGCAGGTGCTTAGAGGTACTCGATGATAGAGCCTTACCTATGAGCTTTGCTGCTGCCTTTGGAACAGTTATTTTCGTGGTGTTGTACCATGTGTTAGCAGTCATGTTAAACAGATCATTCTGTCTTACCTGAGGTATGCCTTTCCCCCTTTTCTGTATTTCCAGAACAGCTGTCTCTATTTTTATTTTGTTACTGTTATTGTCATTAGTTATCACTTGATTATTTGTTGCTTTTCATTATTACCACATCATGGAATAGTTTTATGTGGCTTACCCAAATTACATCTGTTCTGCATGGATAGATTTCTCTACTATAATATTTGTACTATTTAGGAATAATTACAGCATACCTTCTGAAAGAATTTCTTATTATTAATTGCCAGTATAGGTTCCCATGTATAAAGCCAACTTACAGTTTAAACCTGCCCTCACATTTGTTAACGGACCTAATTTTCCTTACTCTGTGGTGAGTGGAGACTCCGGGTCCCTGATTTGCAGTGGAGAAAGCCCAGCTCCCGGGGACAGCCGTGGACTCCATGCCCCACAGCCCGGGAATGGCAGGGAGGGACTCGAGTCTCCCAGTGCCGATCCTCCGCCACTGCTCCTCGTCGCCTCAGAGCGGGGCTCCCGCACTTCCTGTGGTGTCATCATGTCTGTTACCAGCCCTAAGAATGTTCCATGGTTCTCACAGCAGCAAACAGGGCACTGTGCCTGGGGATGTATAAAGAGATGCCAAACGCGTGAAGCTTGGGATTGACTGTGCTTCTTAAATGTTGGCAACACGGTTGTTACTGTTGCGGGTTTTTCTGGTGTCTTGCAATACTTCTGAAATTTTAGCTACTGATTAACAATTTGTGTAATGATGAAAGCTGCTTGCACATCTTATTTTCGCAGTATGTGACATTGAAGGAGGTGCCTGCTGTCCTTGTTTTCAAAGATGAGGCTTACTTTGTTTATGATGGTAAGTTCCAAAGTTTTAACTGATACAAAACATTTTAAAATTAAAATGCTGTGTCTCTTACAGGACTGAGGTGTTGAAGGAATTTGTAGATGCAGCAATTCTTACATCTCCCATTAGTTGAGTGACTGGCAGGTTTTTCTTGCCCTTCAGCTTTACTTTTTCCATCTAATGTGCTTTCTGGGTCTTGCCTACAATGAATTTCTAATTTATTTTTTTGATCCGGTCATTTGTCTTTTGAGCAATTTCTGTGCCATTTTTTTAAAACATTCAAAGTTATTTATATAGAAAAAAAGATCTAATGTTTCAGACTCACAAAAAGATGAAGAAACAAAACCCCTTCAATAGTGGTGAGGTCCCCGTAGGTATGTTCTTCCCTCGCTCCTTCCCTCCCTTCCTGACAGAATAACCACTCACTGCTATTCAGCATTTCTGCAGTGAAGTAAGTACTTAGCCTATTTTTAAAATACTTGTGTTCTACCAAATGTACATCATAATCAAGAGAATGCTAGAATAATAAAAAAAACACATACCCACCACCCAGATTGGACAGTTACCATGATCTTACCACATTTGCTTCAACAATTTTTTTCTTTGTTGAACTGTTTTAAAGCAAATCCCAGAGGCTTTACATCACCATGTGCTTCATTACGCATCTCTTTAAAAATGTTACTTTTCCTTTATATATAATTACATGCTGTTATAACACTTAATAAAATCTGCAGTAATTCTTGGCATTATCAAATACCTACTCCCACAGTCTCAAAACTGTGCAATGGGTTCCTCAGGCCAGTGGAGCAGACTCCCAGGGGCTCCAGGAGAGCATTTAAATTTCAGGGGAAACAGTGAAACTGCATCGGTTAGACCCCACACAGCCACTCAGAAGCAAAAGTAAATGCCAACTCACGCCCGATAGCAGTCTTGGAGACCTTCTGCATTACAACTTGAAGTTGAAGCTTCAGTTCCTTATTTTATGTTTTTCTACATTTATTGAGAGAGAATTAACATATATTTAAGGCACATGATGTGATGCTTTTTAAAAATTTTATTGAAGTCCAAGTTACCATGCAGTGTAGTGTGATTGATTCATCACTTACATATAACACCCCCTGCTCATCCCAGCCAAGTGCCCTCCTCAGTGCCCAGCCCCCAGCCATCTCCCCTCCAGCAGCCCTCGGTTTAAGAGTCTCTTATGGTTTGGCTTCGTCTCTGTTTTTATCATTTTTCCTTCCCTTCCCCTCTATTCATCTGTGTCGTTTCTTAAATTTGACATATGAGTGAAATCATATGGTGTTTGTCTTTCTGACTTATTTTGCTTAGAATAATTCATTCTAGCTTCATGCATGTCATTGCAAATGGTGAGTTTTCATTCTCTTTGATCTGCGAGTGACATTCCATTTATATATATACCACAGCTTTATCCATTCGTCAGTCCAGTCTATGGACATTTGGGCTTGAAGCTTCAGTTTCTTATTTCCACCAGCTACGTTTGAAGTACCCAGTGTCTTTGTGTGGCTTTTTGTTACCATGTTGGAGAGCACAGATATGGAACATGTTATTCATTGCAGAAATATTCTAGAGTCTTGTTATCTTATAACAGACAAGAAACTAGAACTACTTGAGAGCTGTAAGCTTTGGAGTCCTTACGTAACTCAAGTAAATAGAAGAATATCTAATAAAAGGAATATTCTGATTTTTTTCTAATGAAAGGAACGTTTTAATTATTTTAATAATCATGAAAACTAAGCATTTCTAAAATTTTGAATATTCATTAATTTAAATAAATGTAAAGGCTGAATTTTAGTTTTTTGCTATAGTATAACGACCACTATTTATTTGTATGGTTTATACAGTAAATACTATTATGTATTTGATACTTCATGTTATCCTTACCATAATCTGTGGGGGTAGATACTAAAGCAAGTAGATTAATATTCCCAGATTATGAAAGAGATAACCAGAGTGTTAGATAAGGAGATGGATGTCTAATTAAATCACAGGTTCATTGATTTATTTGTTCATTCACTGGATATTTATTGATTGTCTGTATTAGACATTGGGCTTAAAAAGGAAGTTAAAAGGAACTTGGCATATATGAAAATATGAGAAGGAAAATAATGCATATCTACACCGATTCTAACCATTTGGTCTTTGATTACTACACTCCTTGTGCGATAAGCACTTAACATATATTGTAACATATATTGTCTTATTTGATAACAGACCTTCTGAGATCACTATTCATGCTATTTTACAAATGAAAAGATAGGATTCCTGTGGGTTTTCCCCCCTAAATCAGAATAGTGTAATCAAGCATTAGTGTTCAGATCTCTTGTTCTGGTTCTCTTATGAGTTTGTTAACACTTCAGAGAGCCACTTTGTTTCTTTTAGGGAAAAGCCTGATCATATCTGTTTAGACGTAAATCTGTTCTTTATCATGGCTAAGAAAGTACCCACCCTCATCTTGCCTTGGTTCACATGGGGCCTCCTGTGAGTGGGCAGGAGGAGTAGGTTAAGTATCTGTAGCTATTATAGAGGCCAGCGTTTTCTGATGTGCAGTTAGTTTGAGAACCTGCCTGAAGCTTCAGATAAAACGGGTTTGCTTTGAATGCTTCTTCTAGTAGTTAATTGTTATCAGTAAATTTAGAAGCTTTGGGATAGGGGCTCAGGAGCATAGTTTCTTTTCTTTTTTTAAACATTTATTTTTGAGAGAGAGCAGGGGAGGGGCAGAGAGAGAGGGAGAGACAGAATCCTAAGCAGGCTCCAGGCTCTGGGCTGTCAGCACAGAGCCCACCATGGGGCTCGAACTCACAAACCCTGAGATCATGACCTGAGTCAAAGTCAGGCACTTAACAGACTGAGCCACCCACACACCCCAAGGATAGTTTTTCTGATGAGTTTCAGATGTATCACTTTGTATGATCTTTAGAACATTTGCTTTTGACCTGGAGTGGAGATTGTGGCCCAATAATCAACTCAAATTTTATGTTTATTCTTCTGATTCTAAATCCAAATCCATAAGTACTTCCAGATTTGCAGTATGTCACTTATTTTATAGAATTCATAACTTGAAAATGTTTTGCTTAGCAATTCAAGTGACAGAAAAAGCACATCTTTCAAGAAGTATTAAAATCCAGTCTTTAACCAAACATATTGAAGGCCATAGAGGCTTTTACATCAGTTTCTTTATCATCCAGTATTAATAATTGTTCACAATTACTTCAGAATTCTATTTCTAATCAGGACATAATACTTCATATTATAAATGCTTTCTACTTAGCAGGGGAAGTAGTTGACGTTGGAAAAAGGTCAAAATACTATGGTTTTATATGTATGCTGTGTTAGTTTTACTATGAGAAAAGATCTTAAACTGAGGTAGAAATATCATAAAATAGAAAAGAGTAAAAAATTTTAATAAAAAATTACCCATAGTGCCATCATTCAGGAATAACCGTCAGCCCAAGATAACCATTTGGTAGGAGTATTTGCCTTCATTTTATCATTCTGTCCGTTTCTTTCATACTTCATGTTTTACAGAGTTACAGTTATGTTGTAATACTGTCTTGCAACCTGCTTTACCACTTAATTACTAATGTTTTCAAAGTCTGTAAATGGTCTTCCATAAGTTACCATAATTATTTAAATTACTTTATGTTTAGGGTATTTCACTTATTTCCTTAATTTTCATTTATCTTTTGTTGTTTTTAATGATGCTGCGGTGAAGAATTGCTTTGTGCATTAATCCTTTTATACATCTAATTGTTTGCTTAGAATAGACTCCTAAGATGAAATTTATGAATTTAAGATATTTGTTCTGTGTCAAGGCATTTTATGTATATTGCTAGGTTGGAACGCTATGAACATTTTAAAGTCATATCTGCATATAACTTAACTAGCTTTGTTTTATTTTTAAGAGTACGAGGATGGTGATCTGTCATCGTGGATCAACAGGGAGAGGTTTCAGAACTATCTTACCATGGACGGTTTCCTCTTGTATGAACTTGGAGACACGGGTAACAAGCATATATACAACTCTCTGTCAGTCTGCACTGCTTTTCGTTTACTGGTTACTTTACTTTGATTTTGTAGGGAATGAATTTTAAGCTCTGTTTCATAATTTCATTCTTGTATAAGACCTGAATGCCAGTTCCACTTTATGAGAATATAGATTAATATTAACAAAGAACAAACATCCGATAGGGATCAAAGATCGGTTAGAAAAGGTTCACTGGCTACAACTTACAGTGACAGAGAAAACCAAGCCTGTGTAATAAGGAAATGAGAAAAAATAACCAGGAAGCTTTATTAGGAGGGTGAGTTTGTAGTAGGAGTTGGAATTCAACTTATCACCACCTATTAAGGCCTGCTTTTACTTGTGAGGAAAATGTGGGCACCGCATTGGCATGGTTCTTAAAGTTGCATGATTGGAAAGGACAAGCCAAGTAAATATATTTATAGAGGCAGAAATGAAAGTTTATCAGAAGCTGACTGTAGGGTCTCAAATAGATGCAAACTATCATAAGGAGTTAACCATGTAAGTTGTAGGAGGAAGTGTTTGTCAGTTTATATTGAATTACAAATGAGAAGTAAATTATGGATATTATTGCCAAATTTTTTTTCGTTTACAATTTCATTGGTAAGTGTGATGAAAGTATAGTTTTAGATTTTAAAAAAATGGGAAAATTTTACTTAAGCGTTCAGTTTTTTTACATGAGAAGTAGTATGCATAGTTTCCTCTTCATGTTTTCCTGATCTTGAATCTGATCAAGAATACAAATTAGAAATGTTCTAATAGGTTCTCATGTTATTTTCTGACTCTTGGGATATTTGTTCTGGCTCCTGAGCCCACTTTTTCATGTTCTGAGTCTAGGGACGTTTCTATCTTTGCTTATCCTCACAGAGGGAGAGGCGGGCGCTAGCTCAGTGTTGGAAGTTGATGTGGATGCTGTCGAAGACTGTGGTTTACTTCCGGACTCTTTCAGACCCTTGTGAAGGGAAGACGGGAGCAATATAGGAATAGAGTAGTTTTACTTTTGGTTCAGTAATCATAAGGGACCCCATGACCTTGAGGTGGTTAGAGTCTCTTCTCCCAGATTAATTCAGAAAGAAGTTGGCTCTGGAATGTTCCTCTTTTGTGTCCAGCATAATTGCCCTTGTTTGGTAGTGCTGCGGCTCAGCCCTACCCCTTGTCCCCCTGGCCGCTCTCCACATGAGCACAAGAGACCCTGGCTTTGGTGGCAGCGGGTCCCTGCGTCCTCTGACCCCGCCCGAGTCTCCCATCTCCTCTCCAGCCACGTCGACTTCTCGGTTTCCTGCAAAGCCTGTGCACCATGGGCCAGTGCACCTTCATTCCTGGGAATGTGCAGTTAATTCATGTTCACCCATCAAACTCAGACCAGACATTGCTTCTTAACAACACCTTTTACTGGTCTTCGCAAACTAATGAAGTTCACTTCGGAGCACTCTTTTGTTGCTTCCTGTTCCTTTCCTTCAGAATCTTCTCGTTGTTAGCTTACATGTGTTTGTCTGTTGTAAATGATCCCTGTATGTTACTGTAACTTTCTCTGTATGTTACTGTTACTACTAGACTGTGCTGTCCACTGATGCAGGGCTGTGTCTGTGTGGCTATCACTGTGTGGTTAAATCCCTCAGCTAATAAATGGTGGTGCCTCACTGCTGTGCCCCTCCCCCTGCCCATGCCCCACCCGCCACCCGCCCTGGCCTAGAACAGAATAGACACGCTGGATTGCAGCGTCTGGTCTTCTGACTCCAGTCCCAGTGCTCTGCTTACTACATCATGTTGTCCAGTCCACTAGAGGATAGTAGAGATGAATGTTGTGTTCAGGGTTAGATAAATTGGGGTCAGGCTTGTTTTGTGTAGCATTAGTGGCAGGTAGTGACCCATGCATGGTACTGGAAGGAGTAGCCTGTAAACATCATTCCCTTGTTACGTGTCATTCTTTCAGAGCTACGTTAACTGATAGTAAATTTCTTTTATCAGCTTATTTCTTAATGTCTTAGCTTTTGACAAAATACTTATTTTAGTCAGTTTGTGAGTTGTGTGAAAACAAGACAATTTGAGTATATAAATAGTTACTATTATTTACAGATGGGGGTTGGGGGTTGGGAGAGAGGATGTCACTTGGAGTTGACCAGTGCACTGATTTATTCTACTGTGTATAACATGTAGGATCATCGGAGTTAAATTCTAGAAGCTGTTTACTAATTACCAATTCACATCTACAATAATAATTGAAGTTTGACCAGGGCTTTGAATTTAGATATGCCATTCTTCATTTCAGGAAAGCTTGTGGCGATTGCAGTTATTGATGAGAAAAATACATCAAACGAACACACCAGGTATAGCGTCTTCAAATAGTTTTAAGCTTCAAATACCATCTCATGGAAGCTTTACATGGCTTCAGATAAACTTGGTATAGTATCTTACTTTTCCTACACTGCTGTAGATAAGGCAGCAGATATTGTAATTGAAAAATCATAATATATTTTTAAACTGCAGAGATGAAATGTTCATGTGTTCCTTCACAGATTAAAATCAATTATTCAGGAAGTTGCTAGAGATTACAGAGACCAGTTCCATAGGTAAGTGATTGCATTCAGGAACATTCCTTTATCTTTGCTTAATTACATTTTGTTATATGGTAAGGCAAAAGTAGTACTCTTTTATACTTTCGAAGGTGAGTCAAGATACTGAAGCGAATTATAGTAAGTTGCATTTCAGTATGAATTGTTTGGACTTAAAATTTGTTGATATATGTCATATAAGTGAAAAAGAAACTTTCATTTGTAATTTGTAGCCTACTTCTTGATAGGATTTGGGATACATTTGTGGTAAGGATATATGCACTCATGCATTGAAGACGAAGTTAAATGTGGAATCACAAGTCAGATACAGACAGATGATGATTTTCAGGAGAACTCAAAGAATAACTATGAAAAAATAACTGATCTTTTTCGCTTTGTGCTAATCATTGTGTTTGTTGCTGCCATAAGAGACCTTCATTATAAATCTGTTAATATTTACTTATTATCCCCTTTTATTTTTAATACTAATGAAGTATAAGTGATACGTGTTTATATATCTCCTGCTATGAGCATTTTCTGATTAGTTCTTTTTAGAAGAAGGGGGTAATTTTTCTTAAACATATTTTAGTTAGAAAAGCTTATATTGCCCTGCATGGTAAATGTAGAGTAGAAATGTTTTAGGACTTGTTTAATTTTACTCATGTGTATTTGTATCTCAGAAGCCAGTAGAATTCATAATCTTTTGTACATTGATTTTATGTGATTTATATTTAATGTTTTCAGTGTTTATATGCTTACCAAGCCCTAAAGTTCAGTTCTTGGTATATATTTACCTTATTTTGTATCTAATATTGCTCTCTCTCTCTCTTTTGTTTTTCTTTTGGTTGTTGCTCGTTAGAGATTTTCAGTTTGGCCATATGGATGGAAATGACTATATAAATACTTTGCTAATGGAGTAAGTAAAGTTCTAAATGAGTAAATGATTTCCCTATCAATTCTGTCAGTTTTTAAATTTCTGTTTCTGATAAACAAAAGGACTACTAGCTGGAAAGAAAACAAACTTTCATATATGCTGATGCAGACATTCTCCTCTCAAATATCTTACCTTGGTTTGTAATCTAAATTTGAAATTCACTGAGCTTTAATAATTGCACTATATTAAAAAAAATTACCTTGGGGGGCGCCTGGGTGGCTTAGTCGGTTGAGCGTCCGACTTTCGCTTAGGTCATGATCTCGCGGTTTGTGGGTTCGAGCCCCGCGTCGGGCCCTGTGCTGACTGCCAGCTCAGAGCCTGGAGCCTGTTTCAGTCTGTGACTCCCTCTCTCTCTGACCCTCCCCTGCTCACGCTTTCTCTCTCTCTCCTAGAAATAAAGAAAACATTAAAAAAAAAAAAAATTAAAAAAAAAAATTACCTTGGGGCGCCTGGGTGGCTCAGTCAAACATCCAATTTTTGATTTCAGCTCAGGTCATGATCTCACAATTTCATGAAGTTGAGCCCCATGTCGGGCTCTGCGCTGACAGCACAGAGCCTCTTTGGGATTCTCTCTCTACCCACCCCCACCCCCACCCCCACCATGCGCAATATGGGCATGCACACACACAAACTACTCTTTCGGATAAAATTAGAAAAAAAAGTATTTCTCAATTCCATGTTAATAATTTACAGTATTTTGGAAAGAAGACAGTGTTCAAAAACTTCTAGATTTTGTGGTTTCTGTTTAACACACCTTAAATTCAGTTTTAATGAGTAAATGTAATTTAAGTAAACACATTTTTATTCATTTTGAGAGGGAGAGAGTGCACGCGTGTGAGTTGGAGAGGGGCAGAGAGAGAAGGAGAGAGAATTCCAAGCAGGCTCTGCACTGCCAGCACAGAGCCCAATGTGGGGCTCAAACTCACGAATCATGAGATCATGACTTGAGCCGAAATCAGGAGTTGGACGCTTAACCAGCTGAGCCACCCATGCATCCCTTAAGTAGAATGTTTTTACATTCAAGAATTAACTGCTATTCTAGAAGAATTTATTTTAACAGATTAAAATAAATTTATAGGGAAAATATACAATTTTAAAATAATTTTATCAGCTGTGTTTATGACGTGAAGATTTGATTTGTGACTTCAAAAAGTTAGTATTAGAAAACACTTAACCTTATACTGAAGTAATTTCAGATAAGAACCACTCTATGGAGTAGACCTTTAATATTCACTACATGTCACATGCTGTGATTGGTACTGTTGATGTAGAAAATGAGTCGAGCCCCAGTCCAGATGCTTCTAGTCTGCTGGGTAAGACGACACAGTAATTGCAAATCTGTATGAAAAGGTCTTTGTCGTAGAAGGTTCTGGAAGCCTGGAGGCTCTCACCCCCACCCCAGTGCAAACAAAGGCGGGAGGTTCAGAAAATGCTTGCTAGAGGAGGCAGTAATTAGAAGTTACCTGGACGAAGAAATGCAGAGAAGTTCTGTGAGGCAGAGCTTAACAGCACATACGCAAGAGGGGGTAGGAGAATGGGGCTTTGGAGGGCGTGGAGCTTGCAGGAGCCCCTGAAGCGAGGGTGCGGGAAGCCCGCTAGAGGCCCTGACCTGGCCAGCAGCATTGAGGTGCCAGTTCAAGGTCACAGCGTTGTGCCGTGTTTGGTGTTCCCTGACTTTGCCTGGTTGCGAAGGTGCAGCAGTTTCCTTCATTCAGGTCTCAGGGTATTTGTTCCGTTTCCCAAGGAAGAGCACTGAGGAGATACAAACCAAACTTATAATCCCAAGGGAACATTTGTAGTTTTCAGTTAAAAGCCTTAAAATTATAGTGTTACCTTTATTCATTTATATTTATTACCCCTTTTCTTACAATAAAAATTTGGGAGTGTTTACCAGTGACATAAAGTATCAGATATCATATATAACAAATAAATCAAGACAAAGGAAAATAAAATAAAAGATCTTTATTATTTTAGGTATTTATCGTTTATAGGTAATTATAAAAGGTCCTTGAAAAATTTGGCCTTGAATTTTTCATACTCAAAACAAAGTAGAAAAATATTATTTACACATTTCCCATAGTCTGTCAAACAACTATTGCTTATAAGGAATATGGCAGATCTTGTAGAAACCTAAGAGAATAGGCTGTGGTGTATGATCTCATAAAGGGGGACACTCTATAATAGAAATACATTTTTATGTATAAGGAGTTTTACAGTATATATAGTAGGTACTTTGATACACTCATTTTTTATAGTGCCCTTCAAGGCCAGGCAACATTCAGTAAAACATGGTTTGTAAGAAGCCAAAGCAGTTTGGGTCTAATAAACAACTCCTTGATCCAGGGTAATATTAAGAATATGTATAGATGATGGACCGTCCTTCATGAGTATGACTTTTAACGTGAGTTGTGAGATAGACATGTTGAGCTACAGTTATGATCAGAGAACAATAATCACTACCACCAACACCTTGTTGTGCTGTGTTTGTTTTTTACTCCTATTTTGGTTTTTTTTTTCCCTTAAAGAAAAGAAAGCATATGATGACAGTTATGTGATAATAATTGAAAGTCTTTATTGAGCACTTAATTCTGTGACTGACACTGGACTGAGTGGTCAATATGTATTTTTTTAAGTTTTACAGTAACTCAGTAAGGTGTAGGTACTATTATTTCCATTTTATATAGATGAGGAAATTGAAATTTCTTAGAAGAAACTCAAGGAAGCTAAATAATATGCCAAAGGATGCCCAGCAAGTTAAGTTAAAGAGATCCAGTTCTCAGCTCCAGATCTCTCTTACTCCAGAGCTCTTCCGTGGCATTAGTATTGTCCAATAAGGCAGTGGAATTTGATAGGTATTGATACCTAAAATGTTAGTAACTTCAGACAAATACAAGATATTTTTTAAGATAGTTACATGGCAGCACTGACTGTGTTTTTTAAATTTTCTCAAACTAAATAGGGTTCTGTCAGACCCTTGGTCTACTAAATTGTTTTGTTTGGGGTTTTTGTGAATATAAGAGGGAATAGGATAAAGTGATGTTCTCCATTTCTGTCATTATTCGAATAGAATTATTTCACAACAGATAGTCTCTAGTTCATCTGTGTATTTAAGTTTTTTACAATATGTGCTTTTATAGGCAGGCCAGATTCTGATCCATTATGTAAAAATGGAACTCTTTTGTTACTTTTGCATTATGATAACTAATAACAACTGTTGTCAGTCAAAAAGTTGTTTTTTGTATTATGAACAAGAATGAAGATTTTTTTTTTTTTTAATTATACAATCAGTTAATTTTTGCCTGATGATAATATTGGGTAGTCAACCACCTGATACCAGTAGCTTCAAGCAGTAGTATTCACTCTCTCACTTGTCTGGGCTTGGCTCCTGTTGAGTGGGCGTAGATGGCTTGACTCCACACTGCCACTGAGGCCCAGTCAGCCACACAGTCTTCCATGGCCTAGACCTTGGCAGGAGTTTTCCTGCGGGTCTTGCTGCGGCAGTCGCAGACATACCGGAAGGCACGCCTGGCCTTGCAAGCACAGTGGAAGCCTCTGCTTTGGTCCCTTCTGTTACCTTTCCCCCGGCCTGCTCCATGGCTGAGCCCAACATCAGGACTCACACAGCACTCACTACCTGCCTCACTGGGAAGAGGGTGTGGCATCAGGAGGGGTAGGGAATTTTGAGCAATAAAGCAATCCACAGGACCCTTGTCACTTATGTGGTGATAATGCAGTTGTGTGAATTGTTCTGTAGTTTTGTGCTTTTGTATAGTATTTTCATATAGGCACACAGATAGCCATAAACCCTTGTGTAGGTGACATCCAGAATTGAGCTGCTATGATTATTCAGCCAACAACCTATCCTTGAAAGGAAAAAAAACCAACACATTATTTCAATTAAATGATGCCTGTTGGTAAAGTTTCCTGTCGTATCAGCGGAGGCCTTCCTGAGGACGCGGTGGAAGGCATAGTGGAGAGCCGGGGTTCAGAGACTTCGGAATCGTGTCTGTAGAATGTGTGTCATGGACAGGGGACTGTGCTGAGTATTTAACTTGAGGTTTCTTAATTTTTACAACTAGGTAGATACCCTCCCACGACCCACCTTTTATTCATTTATAAATGAAAAACATTAGGCTTAGAAGGTAATGGGTGGGAAAGCCCCGAGCTTGATCACAAGCAGTGTGACCCCAGACCCCGTGCTCTTTCCCGTCGCGTGCCCTCCGTGCCCCTTGACTGGAGCGGGTGTGTGACCACCGCGGCTGGTATTCGGATGGAAAGGACTGAGACTGCCCGGAAATGGACACTTTGTACCTAATAATTTCTATCCTTCCGCTTAATCGTAAATCCCAAGCTGTCTGATGCTGTACATTAGAATATTTTTCAGACAGTCTTAGTTTAGCTGTTTTTTGAATTGATGCACAATTTGAAATTTTCTCCGTGTAGGCACAGGGAGGAAAGCTATTCATACAGCTTCCTCCTCTTATAACTTATTATTACTGAGAGGTCCTGGAAACGATTGTCAGAGTATCTGTTATGTCTGTTCAATGTGTGTTTTGCTTTCTTTTTCTATTTTCAGCGAACTGAAAGTCCCAACGGTGGTCGTACTGAATACTTCGAACCAACAGTACTTTTTGCTGGACAGACAGATCAACAGCGTGGAGGACATGGTGCACTTCATCAGTAGCATCCTGGATGGCACAGTGGAGGTGAGTTGCTCACCTCAGGTTCACGGGGCAGTGGGAGGAGGGAGAGGAGAAATGAGTTTTCTTCTCCTCCGACTCTGAGGGGAGGAGCCATCACCGGGGTGAGGGGCGGCCTCCGGCCTCGTTTCCCTCAAGCCGCAGAGCCACAGTCTCTGAGACAGAAGGTTCTCTGGCGGAGGTGGTTTCCGGGTTGGAGCTGTCTTATGGTCATTGGCTGTCACAGTGACCGGGAGGCGGTGGCAGCATTTGGAGTCAGGGCTGCAGCTGCCGAGAGGTCTGTGGTGTGCGGAGCTGTCCCACTAGTGACCGCTCCTGGCCCCGAACCTTTCTGGGTTCAAGAGCACAAGTGGGTTGAGTTATTCAGATTGCTTTCCTCCGAAAACCTTTGGTAAGAGAGACGAGGAAACGTACTGAGAGTCGGCCTCAGTGGAGAGTCCAAATCCGGTCGGATAAAGTATTTCATAGAAATAACGAACAGGTGGTCTTCACTTCGCACTTCTCCCTGTAAGGAGCACTGACTGCGGTGTTTACTCAAAGTGTGGGTTGTAACCCGTGTTACAGGCTCATGAAGTCACTTCACATTATGAGCAGCAGGCATCGTAATTCAGGACACTAGAATAAAAGAGAAAAAATAAGAGACTTCTGTGAAATTCTATGAAGTGTAATTACTATTTTGTGAGACTTTTGTTTCAGTTTTTTACCAACTTTATTTGAAAGTTGGCTCACAGAATAACAAGCGTTTCTTCTGGAAACAATCACATAGTAGGAATTTTATATTTGTGAAAATACTACTTGTTGAAACGAAACTCACTATATGAGTGAGAATTCCGTATGTAAGTTAGTGACACCTGGTTCAAACTGTTTGACCACAGAACGAGATTCATATAGCTCGGAAATTCAAGGAATGAGCCAGACTTCAGAGACGGCTCAAGGCAGGGATTTGATTTTCATCAGGAATTTTCCTCTCTGCCTTTGAGCACATTTTTGCCTTTTGGGCATCCCTCTTGGGGAGACTGCCCTACACAGTAGCTAGGGGGTCCTGCGGTGACTATAACCAGCTCAGCTAAGCCCAGGGGTGGGACAGGGCTCAGGTGGGTTGGCGTCGGCCAGGGTGCTTGCAGTATCAGTAGGGGAGACTGAGTTCTTCAGAGGAGGTCAAGTGTTCACACAGGAAGACAGATGGAAGGGGGTGCAGGTCAGAAAACCCACAAATATTTCCCGCATGGCTCTTTGCAGTCAAATGCTCTGCCCCTGAGCTATAACCCGTCGTCCCCCCCCCTCCCCCCACCGCATGGCTCTTTGAGGTGCTTTTTGTAATCTCCTGGGGTCAACCCTTGACCTGTAGTTGTAAGATTATAGAACATAAAAATGAAGTTGTAGTACTTAAATAATTTAATTGTTCTTTCCTGGTTAAATTTAAGGCACAAGGAGGTGATAGCATTTTGCAGAGATTGAAAAGAATAATATTTGATGCCAAATCTACTATTGTGGTAAGTTGTGACAGTTTGCTTAGTGTCACTGATAATTAAGAATGGATGGGTGCTTTATGTCTAATGAAGGTAATCTGAAATATCAAAGGATTAGGTAAAAATACACCTGTTATATTGAGAAAGAGAGCGTGTGTGTGTGTGTGCGCGCGCGCGCGCGCACACTGGCACACACACAGAAATCACGGAGGGGCGGGGAGGAGGAGCGGGGGACAGAATCTTAAGCAGGCTCCTCACCCAGCATGGAGCCCAACGCAAGGCTTGATGTCATGACCTCGAGATTGTGACCTGAGCCTAAGTCAAGAGTCTGGTGCCTAAACAACTGAGCCACCCAGGTGCCCCTAAAAATATACCTTTAATTTTAAAGGTAAGAACTAGTCCATGTTTACATTAAGAAAATGTATTCTTCAGGTAGAAATGAGGTTTCTCTTATTACTCATTTCTGGATGATGGGTGAGTTCACTAGAATTCGGAACCATTACCTCAATGGCATGACTTGAAAGTACTTTCCAGTCTCCTTCCTCCTTCTACCCTTTTCAGTCGCTGGATCTGAACCTGCTTCAGCTCCCGGTCAGCATTCCTAAATTTGAGCCTTACGTTCAGTTACAGTTGTCTGTCTTGAGCTACTCAGTCCGTGGGTGTTTTCATCCATTATGGCCAAAGGCAGTTACCAAAGTAGAAGTCAGCAGAGCCGGCCCTTACCACGTATGTCTGGCTACTGCTCCGACTTCGGCACGGTTTCTTCACTTCCTTTTACCCTGGCTCTGTCCATTCTGTATTCCTCTACACAGTGAGTGTAACTAAAATCGTCACATGTGATCGCTTTCCTTCCCTTTTCCAGTCACACATGTGAGAATACTCTGTCCATCTCAAGTGTTCTCATTAGGTTTTGAATACCACAGAAGCCGCCTGGTGCCCTCCGTGCCTCATTCTAACTCATGCTTAAATTTCCACTCAGAACTCTTTAATTCTGGGAAGCCTGCTTCCGTTATCTCAATCCAAAGTGACCTTGCCATCCTCGGAACTTGCCTATATCGTTCTCAGAGTTACAGTCTGAGAACTGTACAGTCACAACCCATAGAATATAATATAGTTGAAAAACCTATTCAGTAAAATTGCTTTTACTTTTCTGAGACCTGAGGAGATGGTGTATAAACTGAGGGGAATTGTTATTAAGCTAATGTGGCTTTACTACTAACCAGTAAGTAGAAAGTTTTTAAATGTCCTGTGAAGTGGAATGTGTGTGTCCCTTCTATACGGTAAATAACCAGCCTTCTCGGTGAGCTGATTCCTCTAGTCCAGGATCCGACTCCAGAGCTTCTGGGCATGTAGTTACCATCTTGAGAGACCTTTGTGCTTAAAGCGAGGAAAATAAGTGTCTGTAGAAAAGTTAGAGAGTATTTGGCACCTTTTTCTGCTGCTGGTAGTGGGATACGCACACAAAGGGTAAAATTTCTGTCGCTTACAGTGTCTTTAACATGGTAGTTACTGCAGAAATCTTGACATTGATTCACTAGAACTAAAAGCAGTTGGGGTGTAGCAAGAGGGAGAAGCGTGTAGAGGTTTTACCACGTGCTGAGCTGCGACCGTCTTCCCGCAGTCTATCTTCAGGAGCTCCCCTCTCATGGGCTGCTTTCTCTTCGGCCTTCCCCTGGGCGTCATCAGTATCATGTGCTACGGCATCTACACAGCGGACGCCGATGGCGGGTATATAGAAGAACGATACGAGGTGTCCAAAAGTGAACTTGAAAGCCAAGAACCAACAGAAGAAAGCAAAGAACAGGGGGCGAGCGGCGGAGCCGCCCTCGGGCCTACGGAGCAAGAACCTAAAGATGTACTGGAGAAGAAGAAAGATTGAACTTTGCTAGTGTGGAATATTTGATAGGATTTCAGATTATTAAAGAGTCTATTTATTGAACTTAGGCATTTAATCATGATCTTTACAAAAGAGAATATGTTACTAGTATTTTGCTAACATCAGCTTGCATGGATTAAAGTTGCCCTTCACAGATGGGGAGGCGTTTGGAGCAAACAGAGGAAATGTTTATCTAAAACAAAAAAAGAAATGAGGAAACACTCCATCAACGTTTACTGCATAGATGTTATTTTAGCAGAGCAGTTCTCTTGCATGTTTCTCTATCTGAGCATTCTGAGACAAAATTAAGATTCCTGGGCAGAATATTTAAATTGGTCAGTCAGGTAGAAGTTACATGTGTGATAAAGAAAAACAGTACCTCCACCTTCTACCATTCATTCTCCTCATATATTTTAGATAAGATTTCCATGGGCAAAATTACATCTTTAAAGTTTAGCACTTTAGGGAGAACTAACACTTTTTTCCATTGGTCAAATTAAGACTATGACTTAAAAATAATTTGGTTTTATATAGTATAGCAATTTTATTTTGTTAGTTATTTTTAAAGGAGAGGAAATGTTACTTTTTAACTTTCTACTCAGTTACCTTATAAAATTTTCATATGGATCTATATAGTGGGAAAAAAATAAGTGTAATCTTTGGAAATTAAACAGGATTGACCTGGAGCAGTGATTTCAGGCCACGGGCTGGGCCACGCTTCACATGTGTCTCGGTGACCACTGTAGAAAGGGGAGAGTGTGAACTCCTGCCCTGCGTTAGCCAGAACGACCTACTCGTTTTTCTCTTTCTTGTTTTATATATTGGAATTTCTTCTAAAAATTTCCTTTGATAACAAGCTCCTGCTGCTTTTTAAAAGTAATATATATTGTATTTTTAATGTTTATGCTATGGTAACTTTATGGTAACTTATAATATGTGTGTATCTGTGTGTGTGTATACACACACACATGCACATGTATTTACATATACATATACAATTTATCGACATGTCTGTCATGTAATATTATGGGCATGTCTATGTTCATAATGAGTAACGAGTGACATAATCAGCCTGTCAGCAAAATTTATATCCAGTGATTAAGAGCCAACTGTTACCTTCTCCCTCCTCTCAATTCTGACACCCATTTCATTTTCTCTCTCTAATGAAGTAACATAGGAATTCTGTCCCAAGTAGTGTATAAAAATTGGCATTGTTGTAAGTAACATTATGATATATTTATTGTAGATTATATTTGAGCCTTTCATTTTAGCTAACTTTAGGTTTTTATTAGATGACCATTGTTTGGGTGATTATTCATTGAGCAATGGAGTTAAACAATAGAATGGTTTTTATTAAATGCTGAAAAATCTGTAATCATTTTAAAAATATGCAGCTCATGGCCCTGATACTGAAGTTGTTCAGGGCTTTGGTCCCAAGGCAGCTGTTGATTTCTGATACCGTGCTGCTCACGACTAAACCAAAACTCTTGTCCAAATCAGTTTCTAGCAGTCGTTTTATCGTATCCACGTGCTCTTTTACATATAGTGACTAAATGCTTATTCTTACTGTTTGGCGCTCTTATCATTTTTAATAATGAAGCACATAGGAAGTCCCAGGAAATTTCAGGAAATAATGGAAAGAAATGTTCTCAAGTGGAAACTGGAGATGAATGCTGTTAATTAAACAAGTAGATTCGTCTCCAAAGAGTAAAGAGGGATTCTTTGGGAGGCTAAATACTAATGTTCCCGGGGGTCAAGCTTGTTCTGCCACAGTGAATAAAGCTTAGGTGGGTGCAAAACCTCACTTGAGTCTAGGAAGGAAGGTAAAGCTTAGCCTCTGCCAGGGGCAGCAGGAATTTGTAGGAAATGTCCCCGTTTTCTTCTTGCTTATCACCATCAGATGTTCATCATCTGTACGTTTTCAGCCTCTGTTTCCTTTTCACAGCCTCTACCGTTGCCCAATACTCTATTTGTGTTTCTCAGTGTCTGTTAGGAAAACAAAATGGATAGATAGTTAATAAGTAAATACTTTTTTTTCTTTTTCTATTAAAATTTTGCATTTTATTTGTTTCTACAAAGCTCTTACAAAACAAATTTAAAATTTTCTTCACTAGTACACTTTTCCCTTTTATGTGGTATCTGCACTTGGAATGCTATTTTCGTTTCAGGAAAAATTACTGCAAAAGAAAGTTAATTTCTTAATGAAGTTAGTATTAGGACACATACACCCTAATTCATTGGTGAATCTTATCATGATTACATATTAAGTAAGTTGGAGTTTTACCTTTCTTTCAGTTGTAATAAAATTTCTATTTCTAACCCTAAAATTCAAAATTCTAGATGCTTGGTGGTTGTGGGATCTGAGCTCAATTTAATTATATTTCAAAGACAGAAAGTACATGAAACAGTGCCCCCCCCTCCATTATAGCTTGCAGTCCTTTTTGTTCATCATACACAGTAATATTTCTCTAGCTACTTTTATCTGAAACTTACTTGAGGTGTATTAGACCTGAGTTTTTATCTTCTTCATACCTAATGCTTTCCTGGTGTCTGACATACAGATAGCATTAAGAGCTAAATATCTGGAGGTTGAAGGAAGGGCCTATGTGAGTAAACGGCTGTATTATTATTTTTTTTTTTTTTAGTGGATTTTTGTTGATGTTTCTTGTGTTTTGATTCAGGGGCTTTTTGGTTTTGGTTTTCTAAAAAGTAATTTACATATTTTGATCATTGCTTCATATGCTGTGGACACAGGACAGGAAAAAATACTAAGCTGTTCTTATTGTGCACACATTGTTCAAATGAACCAGTGTGGGATGTTAAGACTATCAATTAATTAATGGTGGGATTAGGTTTGCCATTTTATTTTTATAAATATATATTTTTTCTGAATGTGTCTGAGTCCAAGAGTGGGCAAAAAATAATTTTCTACTTTGGACTAAATCTATAAAGGTTTTTGAAAGTCTGTATTACTAACTTGTTGAATTCATGATATCTTGCCTTATGGCACGAATTGTAAACCTGTTTTTTCTAAAATAAATTAATTGAAAACATGTTTATTATTTTTGCTATTTATATTTTGTTCTCAACACAAATAGTTCTTGTGCAAGCAAAGAGAATAGCTAAGACTGATCTTCCACAAAATGTTTTCCCTTTTATTAAGTTGTAAGTTTTTCATCATTTTAGAAACAGAATGAGTTTAAACACATCTGAGATCAGATTGCTACCTAATCCCTTTATAAATGAAGAACCTGAGATTTGTCAGGTATATGTTATATTTGTGAAAGTTGATTATTTTTAAATATTAATTTCATAGTTTAGAGTTAATGCAATGAACCTGAGTCCACGATGGACATCTACGTTGTGACCTCGGACATAACACAGCCTCCCCTCCTTTTCATCATCAGTAAAATGGGAGAATCTAAAGCCTCAAGATGTTCTTTTTTAAAATAGCACCACAGAGGGGGCCGCCTGGGTGGCCCAGCTGCGTAAGCATCCGACTCCTGGTTTCGGTTCAGGTCATGATCTCACAGTTCGGTGAGTTCGAGCCTTGTGCCGTCGGCGCAGAGCCTGCCTGGGATCGTCTGTCTCCCTCTCTGCCTCTCCCCCACTCGCGCTGTCTCTGTCTCTCTCAAAATAAATAAGCTTAAAAAAAAATAGCATCAAATGGGGAGAGTATATTATGAAAAAGCAAACTTTATACAAATACTAATTTTTTAATAATTCATTTTTCATATTTTATACCATGGGCACGTTTTTCATAAGAATTGGCTCTGGCACGGGTGTAACAGCCAAAAACAATGGCCCCACCCAACTTGGGAATCATACAAACGAGCTGGTTAGAATAGACCTCATTAAGAGTGACCAGGCGTGTCCACTGTGTGAATTCCGTGGGTGAGGACAGGCTCCCGGGGCCCTGCTGAGAGGCTGGACTGTGTTGTGGGTGTGGGGGGCCTGGAGTCCAGTCCTGCTCTGTCACCTGCTGTGCATAGTTGGTAAGAGGCTTACCCTCCCTGCTCCCGTGCTAACTCCAGGATGATGGTGCCCATCTCATTGGATTAGGAGATTGAGTGAGTTGCACATGAGGCATGTTTAGAACATGCCTGGCATGTGAAAACAGCTCAGAGTATCACATTTTTGTTTCCAATTTATTTCTCTTCTCCCTTCTTTTTGAATTTAGACTTTTAAGCATATGAAGTACTAGTATGCTTAAATTTGCTCAGCTACCTTTTCACTTCAAGCTCTAACCTTGCCATGGGTAGGAATGTGAAGAAGTAAGTTTTCTTTAAAACTGAAATTAATTTAGGTTCACAAACATCTCTGAAAATCCTCTGGGTTTTGTGCTTTAAGTGAACGTGAGGAAGCAGAAGAGGAGGGTACACGTATCCAGTAGGCTTATCAGCCCACGTAGTTTAGACAGATACAAGAGTTATTTGGGCCCAGATTTAGAATACTAATTGATACTGAATATAGATGACTTGATTATCCTGAAAGCCTTCCTGAGTAGTTCTCAGGAAGAGAACTCTTTCCTTTGAGTCCATCTCCCTATAAACTGAAAAGGGATTTTCAACAACTAGTAAGAAAGTGGTAGTTGTTTTCTTGCAATTTATTTCTTTTGTGTGTGTTTTATTTATTTCTGGGCGAGAGAGACAGTGTGAGCAGGAAAGGGTCAAAGAGAGAGGGAGACACAGAATCTGAAACAGGCTCCAGGCTCTGAGCTAGCTGTCAGCACAGGGCCCGACACGGAGCCCGAACCCATGAACTGTGAGATCATGACCTGAGCCGAAGTCGGACGCTTAACCGATGGAGCCACCCAGGTGGCTCTGCAATTTATTCTTTCAACAAAGGTTTATTAAATGTTTTCTGTGTGCTGAGGATACAGTAGTAAAGAACAGTCACGACCTCAGTCATCACTTAAAATGTTCAATTCCAAGGTTTCTACTATTTTGTTTGTCTTCGTGTTCCTTCTCCTATCATCTGTTGTTCAACATGAAATCCTTGCTGGGTCTTCTGGATCTCTGGGACACGGGGTAAGAGACCAGGCGGTGCAGAGCACAGTGGCTTTCTTCCTACAGATGAAGGCATCGGATCTACCCAGCGTGTCTGTAACTGCGCCTGTACTGTAGATACAGGTAACAGGTGTGGAGTGCAATGCGAGGAAAGGTGTCTCCACAAAAGAGATCTCCAGAAACCGAATGGGCTGTCAGGGGGGTTCAGAGCACCCACACTGAAAATATTGACACACTACTTTCCTTCTTAGACAGAGATTATACAAGGCCATTAATGTAAATAAACACTAAAGCCACCCTCTGTCCATTTTACAATAGTCCCTTCTCTTTCAAACTAAAAAAAAAAATTTTAATTAAAAATTGGCCGATTGTAATATATTGAATTTAATACATTTTACTTGGGTCTGTGGAGCAGTCCAGTGAAACTTAAGCATATATAGTAACTGAGGATATTCTTCTACTCATTGAATTTTTCCACATGGCTCCATCTCTGTCCTCATCACTGTGTTCACTTGTGGATTTATGTAACTGGTTTTCTTCCATCAGAGGTGCGTGATGTACCGAGTGTCTCAACATGGTTGATGCTAAGTCCTAGAAATTCTATTACAAACCATAAGAACTCAAGCAAACCTAACAGTAAATGCTTAGATGTTAATGACTCATGTAATGACATTTAGTAGTTAAAATTTTGAGGCTATACACAGAAATAATCTGTATAACTAATAAATCTGTTAAAGTCCTCCATCTCCTTTTTATTTTTAAATTGATTGTCAGAGGAACTTTATAAGTTTTTTGAGATTTTAAGATCATACAACTTCTCCAAATACTACGTCACTGCTCTAAATCAAATGAAAGACTGACTTAATCTGAAAAATTTTTTTGTTAGGTAGAAGGTGACTCTTTTTTACAAGGGATAATTTTGGAAAGAGTAAAAGATTTACCTTAAATTTGGACATAGGTAAATTCACATTTTTCATGAAAGCCTAGGTAGCATAGTTTCCAAGATTATTATGTAAGCCTCTCATGCCCAAATTACCACACTTGGTACAATCGGAGTTGTTAATAGTGTAATCTCAAATTCCGAATTGCTAGCCTTCAAAATAATGTACTTTCCTCCCTAGGGTCCTCATAAATACACAGTCATTCCAATATTAATGTGCAAATTATAACAATAATTTTCACAGGGGCCCACCAACGTCTAGGGAGATAATAGCAGAACTTATTTTTCCAAATAGAGCCACCGTTATTTATAAAATTATTAGATATTCCTCAGATGTATTGTGGAGAAAAGTCATTGATACTTTAATTTTTTTTTAATATTTATGGTAAGATGTACAGCTCAAAAGAGTCTTTGGAGATAAACTAAGGTTGAGATCTCTGTAGAATTACTGATGATTGTTCAACAAGTAACTTACTACTCATCCATTAGCAGAGTCCACGTGGGAAAGGAGAAGTGAGGCAGTGACTTGTTCACTGTTCCCTTCGAACAGTGTGCTCATATGGGACCTGGTAGAAGTATCTCAGGGCATTAGGGCATGTTGCTACTCCCTGTAAACTTCTGGAAGGTTCTTACAAGAGACTGCAGAAAGCTAGAAGGGAGCTTTCCTTCTAAGAGAAGCTTCCTGGAGCCAACGGTACAAGACAGGTAACCATTTCCCCTTTTCACTTGGCAACAAGCAAATTTCTGGCTCCAAGCTTGATTTAATTTAAGGATCATCTTCATATATGGGAGAACCATAGACTGGAGTTCCCTGACCACATAACTCATTCTACTGCTAAGTGATGATCTTCTGGCTTTCCCTACTGGTAAAATTTAATATTTCTAGGAAGTAGTACTTGCTGTGTATTTAGATATTCTTGTCTAAATCTCTGTGTGGAAAAGGATTTCTGTAAATGGTACTGAATCGATTGGCTGTA